ATAGACTATATATATATATATATATTTATTGCCTCTCAATCTGTTTTGCTGTCTTTTTCAAAACCATGTTCCTAGTAGCCTTGATCTTTCTAAGAAACATTATACAGTTTCCTACTTTAATTCACATTTTGAGTATAGCTGGTCAGAATAACTATCGCTATTGGCTTATATGCCAGTATTAATGCTTTCTTCACTGGCAATATATCAGATGCATTCTAAGGTTACATTTGCACCAGTATTTTTCATAGCCAGATTACAGTATGGTTTATAAGCAACCAACTGTTGACTAAAATACTTGGATATTTATCCTTTTGTTATCTGCAATTGATGATCCCACCATTTACAAAAGAAATTCTTACAATTTGTTCCTAAATGCATGTCTGCATTATGTAGCATTAGACTTGTTCTCATTTCTATTATTCAGTCTAAATAATACAATTTTTCCCGTAGAGGAATCAGTCCTACTTTTTAATCTTCCAAATCCAATGTCCTATCAAACACCATTAGTACACTACTATAATTTTTACCAACATCATTAAAAAAAAAATATTAAATCTCACTCCTAAAACTCTGTCAGCTTCCAGTGCAGGCGAAGGAGAAGGATAGGCTCCTTTAGCAGGCAATTCAGAGCAGAAACCTATCTTAGTCATTCTGAGTATCTCTTCAGAGAAGCCTTCTATTGACTATAAAGGGAGAATAATCAGAATAGCTAAAGTTAGCTTTTTTAAATACCCCTGTTTCTGTACCAGGCAGATGACTAGCGTATTTTTTTTCTGTTACAGAGAAACATTAGATTTCCTAGTAATTTAGTATGTGTGAGTTTAGACTTGGAACTGAGGACAGATAGAGGGTTCTGGTTTCTATAGCATTACCCACACTGGGATTGTCAGCACAAACTGAGGATGTTTTTAAATCAATACCTTGAATCTAGGCCATGATGCCTAGAACTAGATTTTTCTATCTCAGTTAAATCTTCCTCATGTTTTGTAGACATTTGTATAGCCATGCGTTGCCATATCCTTCTGAAAATTGGTTATTTCAATTAGAATCTCCATAGTTTATTTAAAACAACAGATTATTTTTTCAAGACACAGGTTGTAAATACAATCATAAATCATAATGTTGATGCTCAATGAAAACACTCAGTTATATTGCAGGATCATGAATTTTATTTCCAGGCAGATAAAATAAAGTTTCTTAAATGCTGCAAAAAGAAGGGTTATAAACAAAATCAGCAAAAAGTGGTATGGGCTTTTTTCAGGCAGCAGCATACATTTCTGAAATACATTTTCTCAGGGATCACTTGGTAGATAAAAGATGAAATTGAACTCAGGTAATTGGTGTTTATGGCCAAAAAAAATAAAGAATTAAACTCTAAATTGCAACTTTGAAAATTATAAACTTGACTTATTCTGAAATAACCTATTGCATTTCTTGATCCCTGTTTTGATTGAACTCTTAACACAGAAAAATTCCAAGTCACAGTACTTAACAGATGTTATATACGTTAGCACATTCAACCACACAGTATTCCCATGGCCTGTTCTTTCAAGTGCATTTTCTTTCACTATACTATAGGTGTCTAAAGTTTTTCTCTTGCCATGGGGAGAATTAAGGCACTGTAATTTTATTCACTAAACAATCAAGTTTATACCTACATGTTAAAAAGATAAAACATACAAATTAAAAACATAAGAAAACTGCATTATTATTACACTTGTTATAGATATGTTGCTATTGTTAAACAAAATATATTTGAGGTAATAACAAAACTGTGAGAATAAGACATGAGTTTTGATCTTGACTTTTTCATTTCCTGGCCATGTGAAATTATTACTTCTACAGAGAATAAACATTTTGACTCTGTAAATGACTATATAGTGTATCAAGTAATGTAAACCTAGGCCTATTGCAACATATTGCACGAAGGTCAGAGATAAATTTGCTTAAAGAATATCAGCTTAGAGACAAATCCTAACACCACCTAATGTGAGAGATGGAGTAAAGTTTATTCAACATGATTTAGACAAGTTTGAATAAGCTTCATTAGCCAAGACCATTTAAAGTGCATCTCCACATAAAGCACATGTAAAACATACATCTTCAAGTTAACAGTGTTCAACATGCAACCTCTCCCATCTGTAGTAACCAGAGAAAGTAAGCATTTTGTTACTAGAAAATAATAGAGGAGAAGATAATGCAAGTCAAATGAGAAGTAGGGCAAGGAAAATCAATTTCTTATCAACTGTGGGGCAAATAACTTTAAACAAATTCACATAGTATCTAATCAGTACCAAATAACAACATGGTTCCTTTGGGGTATATGGCAATGATAAAGCACCAAAATCATGATAGAGGTGACTTTAACTTTTATTGGAAAGGCTGTTAAGTAACAAGAAAATCCCACACAATTTATAGTTTATCCCTGGAAAGCAGATAGAAGGGGCCTTTGGCACTTGAGATAAGTGTATTTTACTATAAGATAGCTAATGCCCTGAGCAAATACAGCAACAGCAAAGAGTAAGAATTATTTGAAATTCTTTACATAGAAAGTGAAAAACTAATTGTGACATGTTAGCTCAAAACAAGAAAGGATTTCATTACACTGCAGATGGCCTGAGCAAAGGGAATATGTGACACAAAAGGAACTGTGATAAGATTACAAAGTATATCAGAACTGTTTGATTAATCTTCTGTCTGGGGAGTTTTAAGAAATAGACACTACAGAAGACTTAAATTAAAAGAATGATAAGCACATACTTCCAGACTTCTGCTTCTTCTGCTTTTAACAGCTTATCTCCATTTCATCAAATGGTTTTATTGCTGAAGGACTTTTGCATCCTTAAATTATATTTCCTTGGTCACCGTGATATGTGTTGTGTCTTCAGAAAACCATGTTTCTCAAAAAGCTACACACATCCCACTCTGACACTCTCCTATTTTAGTTATGGCTCCTTCTGTTAGGAACTTCAAAGTAGATTTAGGTCTTGAGGAAACATTGTGTCTATTCAAAGATCACTTTGTAGTGTTTTTCATTTCTTCCTTACCCAAGTTGTTGTCGTATCACTTTCCCTCTACTCACCTTTAGGAAGGTCTTCTCAAGAATCTAGAAATTTCAGGCATGCTTCACTCCTGGTCTGCCTCTTCTCTTGCTGTAACATCCACATCCCCATGGTATTTGGGACAGAGTTGAAAAAACGTTAAGAAAAAAAGAACAATTCTCTGCCCCCTCTATTGGTGTCCTGGTTTGGGCTGGGATAGAGTTAATTTTCTTCCCACTGTTGGGGGGGGGGGAGGAGTGAATGAACAGCTGTGTGGTGTTTAGATGCTTGCCGAGTTAAACCATGACAGTACTCCATCTGTTGTTACCTCAACCCTTTGTGCCCCATGCTGGGTGACAAAAAGGACAGCTGTTCATTCACTCCTCCACCCCCAGTGGAATGGAAGAGACAATCAGAAAATAAAAGTGAAATTTGTGGGTTCAGATAGAGACAGCTTAATAGGACAGAAAAGGAAGGAGGGGAGGGAATAGATAATAATAATAAAGAATTAGAGTACACAAAACAAGTGATACACAGGGCAATTGCTCATCACTTGCTGACCAATGCCCAGTCAGTTCCCAAGCAGCAGCCCCTGGCCAGCTTTCCCCCCAGTTTATATACTAAGCATGACATCATATGATACGAAATATCCCTTTGACTAGTTTGGGTCAGCTGTCCTGGCTGTGCCTCCTCCCAGCTTCTTGTGCCCCCCAGCCCTCTTGCTGGCAGGGCAGTATGAGAAGCTGAAGAGTCCTTGACCACTGCTTAGCAACAACTAAAACATCAGTGTGTTTTCAACATTATTCTTATTCTAAATCCAAAACACAGCACTGCACCAGGTACTAGGAAGAAAATTAACTATCCTAGCGAAAACCAGGACAAGTGGGCATAGCTGGCATGGTTTCAGTACAGGGGTGGCAGTTGTGGCCTGTGTGGAAGGAGGCCTTGAGCTGCCCTGTGTCAGTCACAGCCATTACCAGCCAGCTCTGACACCAGTGTGTGACAACAGCCAAGAAGTGCTGATGCTAGGATAGAGAAGTCCAAATGCATGGTCCAGCTGCCAGCCGGTGGCACTCCAAAACAGCCCAGTTTGCATCATCAGACAGTAGCACGTAATTGAGGATGAAATTTCTAGTATGAATAAGCCCAAAAGAGTTGATCAGGAATCACTCTCAAGTAGATTTTCTAATTGACTGCACAGCATGCATAGATTCTATTAAAAGCATTAGTTTCACTGCAGAATGTGAGATTGCAGGTGTTCGAAAATGAACAATCCTCAGGTTTGAAGAAATGCTGTGAGTGCCAGAATATCAGCTCAGTGTTACTATGACCCTGAGTAAAGTCTTAGTGGAAACAGAAAAAACGTCATCAAGAACATTAGTGGTTTGTTTCCACGTAGTAAAACAGATTGATTTTTTATTTCATGTTAACTAATACCCATTAAAAAAAAAAAAAAAAAAAAAAAAAAAAAACAAAACAAAAAAACAAACCCTAGATTAAATCAGTTTTCCCAATATTAGGTAGCATAAAGTAGTCACAATCTCTCCTCCCCCACCTGCACATCAGTCTTTAACTCAGTTATGTCTTGGCATCATCAGCATATTACCATATAACGAGCACATTTGTATGCACAGATGGTAAGATCATGCCTTGTATCTTAGAAAATGCATAGAATAAGCACTAGACCTTATATAGCCACAGTGGGAAGTCATTAGTGGAGTGGGCTATACAGAGCACGGGGTACCATGACCTCTTCATTAAATATTGTGTAGACTGCTGTTGGCATAAGCAGGAAGCAAAAGCAGTGAACTTAAGTGTCCACTTACTGTGAATTAAGTGATGTGAATAAGCACTGTGGCCAGTAAAGATCCTGCTTAATGTCTGACCTGCTCAGAAGAATTAACACTGTTGTCTTCCATTCTTTCCAGTACAGATTTTTTTTCCTTTTGTTTTAATTAGCACGCTGAAGCCAACACCTTCAGGTTTCCAACCAAATGAGTATGCTGATGCCCAACTTCAAGAGATTGTGAGGAAAATGCGGGAAAGGGCAACAGTCTATAAGGAAAAGCTGAAAGACCCAGTGCTGTCCTCCCCTGAAGGGAGTCCTACAGCTTGTAAGTGACTCCAGAGATTGCTGTGCATTTGCTGTGTTTAAAGAATAAATTATTTCTGGGAACAGAAAATACTATGGTAAAATTTTCAAGTGAGTATAGCATGTTTACCCACTGAAATGGATCAGTTTGTGCCAACTGAAGTCAATTTATCCATATTAGCTACAGTAAACCAGGTCCTTAGATACGAGCTCCCTTTGAACTCCATCATCGAAGATTTTTTGGGAAAAACCTTAGGCAATGTCTAGAATCATCCCTGTCAAAAAGTTTTCTATATTTTAAAATAGATTCCAGATAGTTTTATTCACGGGGATGAATCTGAAACACATGAATAAACATACATAACATATGAATAGATATTAGTCACTTTGAGATTAGATCTGCTGTGTAAAAGTAAATAAAATATTAGCCATGGCACCAATCTTCCAGACACACTGAGGACTATAAGTACATGCTTTGAATAAAGCAAGCTCATCTGAAATTAATTAAACATTGACTTTTGATAAAATATGAAATATAAACCAAATACAATGTTTTTCCTCTTCAGATGAAAGATTGACTTTTTTTCCTTTCACAAAGAACTGAGTGTGATGATTTTATATTCTGACATACTTTAGACGTTGTTTATTGTCTACCTGGTTTTTTAATAAGCTGTAAAAAATAGTTCCTGAAGTATTATAAGCTATAACAGCTGATAAAGGATTTTTTTAAAAACAATTTCTTTGCTCATTTACCTCTTTTGTTCTCTTTGTAGAACTTACAATCATTTATTTCTTAAGTCATTATAGATCCATTTCGCCAGTTTACTTCTAAGATGTTTATCCTACTCAGAGGCAAAGCTACTAGGATTAATGGGACAGAAGTGTGGACAAAATTATCCAGCCCAAAGCTGAAAGAACCGGGCTCAAAGGAGTGTCACGAGACTTTTCTAAGCCTAGAAACGTAAAAAAACATAGGCTTCCCATTATTTTCACCTGCTCCATCTTGTGTATCAGGTCTCAGGAGAGTGAAGAGATCAGCCTATGGCACAGACATCTTTTCTTATCTCCATCCTAACTGCATGCATTATTTGCAACAGTCATGAAAAGGGAAATGCCCAGTCACATTAATGAATGCTGAATTATGAATTACCTTATTCCTTGTCAGTCTTTTATGGCATTAGTTGTGGGCACTGTCCAAGGAAATACAGTTTTACTCTGTAACATGAAGTGCCCTATTGTTGATATCAGATATACCTGATTATATCAGGGGTGATTTTATTCTCCAATCTGTTTTCTAATGCATTCAGTATTATAATGAATTGTAGCTTTAGTCACCGCCAAGTGTTTTCAGAAACGTGTTTAACATGGTGAGGCTCTTGTACACATTAAAACAGGATGTAGCAACAGAGCCACAATTAAAATGTCACCATTTGCGGCATTCTATGTGGTTAGCACCATCAAAGAAGAAGCCTCCACCTCAACCAAAAGAAGAAAAAAAAGAAGAAAAGATTGATGACGCAGAAGTAAAGCCGGAGGAGGATCATTACTGTGATATGCTGTGCTGTAAATTCAAAAAAACTCCACTGAAAAAATACCTGGAGTATCTGCAGCTACCAGACAGCATAGACTCATACACAGGTAAATTAAAAGCTATGCAATAGAATGGAGTAAAGGCATCCTGAAGTGACCTAGTATTACATAGTACCTGTGAGCCACCATAAAATCCACATTCCAGTTTGCAACTCAGAGGGATGTGTAGATCCTGCCCTAAAGAGCATTTATTCCAAATATGGAGAAGACAGGAAAAGTGACAACAGTTGTAAAGATGGTATGCACAAAGCTGATATGCAAACCAACCACAATTAAAACCAAAGTCTTCTGATTCTTGATCTAGAATTTGTCCCATTCATTAGGGCCAAATGATTCTTTTGTCAGTTATACACCAGCAGCATGCAAAATGTATCAAGTTTCTTCAGATGCATTAAATTCTATATGCTCTGATAAACTCATCATTTTTCCCTTTTGCAGATTCTTTGTGTGACTCCTAGTTCCAACCTATACCACTTTAGTAGTCTGTGCTGTTGAAAAAGGGAGAATGGTAGACTGTTCAGGGCAGAAACATTCCCAGAGACATCAGCAGAATAAATATGTCTAAAGGAATGAGAAAAGGTTCTAAGTTCATGCCCGTAGATTCCATTTTTATTTTTTTTCTTTCAGATCGCCGCTACGTAGCATGGCTCATGCTTGTGACAGTTGCCTATAATTGGAATTGCTGGTTTCTTCCCCTTCGTTTTGTGTTCCCATATCAAACCCCAAGTAATAAAATATATTGGTTTACCATAGACATCATTTGTGATATCTGCTACCTGTGTGACTTACTGATTTTCCAGCCCCGAGTGCAATTTTTAAGAAGTGGAGATATAATAGTAAGTATTGTCCATGGGATTTCCACTGATAGTAGTTGTGTGTTAAAGTACATTGTAGAAACTCCCTCTAATGTGACACAATTTTTCCTGTTATGTCAAATCTATGTAACTTTTTTATTTTCAAAGGATACCTATGTACTTCTTCACTTACTTTCAATTATCCTATTTTGGAAGAAGGAAGCATATCCATTGTCTATATTCTTAAAAAAACAAAACAGATTTGAAAGTAACAGAAGAGAGCAGTCGGAACAGGCATAAAGCTCTTTCTCACCAGGAGCTTCTATGCATGTGTGTGTTTGTTTGTGTGAAACTTTCAACTTTCTATTCACCTTGTGCAAGAATCATAGCTGAAAACAGTGTATATTGTGCTAGGGCTGGACAGGTCATGCATGTTCTGTTACAGATTTTGAGATTGTGGATGTCTTTGCCAGAATCAGGGCAAATCCCTGTAATTTCAGGATGCTTTGAAAATAATTTATTTGAGGTATTTTATTTGGGGAAAATATGTACATTCAATTTTGCTTCTTGCTACTATTTTGTTACCTTTTTATAGAAAAATTAAAAATAAATCTCTAAGCAAGTATCAGAAAAAAGGTAAAAGCTTGTCCTTAGCATACCAAAAGGACATGTAGAACATTAACTCTCCTTTGAAATATTTCCTACTTTTGATTCTTTAACTTATAAAAGAAAACCTAATGCAGAAATAAAGTTAGATTAGATAACTTGTGTGACACTACTGTGCCCATCAGGCAGAAAATTCAAAATTATGTATCGTCAAATGTAATTTGGAACTAGATTTAGTTCAGTGATTTTACATAAAATTTTACACATTGTGCATACAAGACATTACTGATACCTTTACAGAGGAATCTCAGATAAAACTGTGCAAATATAGTTTGAATAGATATTAAATGCAGTGCAGTGTAATCTATTTTTCCATGTCAAGACATTCAGTAACTGGCAATCTTGCCTAAATCCTGCAAAACTCGTTTTATGAACAAGGTTAAAACTCTAACATAGGAAACTTACCTTGTATTTCCCTTTAAGCTCCTTGTATAATTCATAGATTTTAGTGTGTGAAGAGATCATATCTACTGCTTGATCTCCTGCATTTAGTTTAATGCTTAAACAGATAATAATGAAAATTTGACATGGAAATATCCCAAGATTTTAAAGCTATTTTTAAAGTGTCCCTGGTATAAATACAGAAAGTATAATAATAAATCTATTTCTTTAGCTATTTGTGATTATCCTTTCCTATTAAGGTATTAGCATCAGTTCCCATAGAGAGCAATTTAAAAGTAAATAGCTAATCATTACTAATGAATGCAATGTTGATTATTAAAATGCTAATAATGCTAGCATGTTAATACTAGCTTTCAAAGAGCTAATTTTGTACAGCACCATCAGAAACATTCTTTGCATTTTTCTTGGAACCACTGGAGTCAAATGGAGTCTTTGCTCTGAAATTGAAGGGTTTTGGGTCAAGCACCAACTGGCACAGATGTCTTGAGGGGAAGATTTAGGAGAAAAATGTAATGTACTCTGCTAGACCAACAGCCAGACGTGGAAAAAAACAGACAAACCCCAAACTTGATCTTTTCAAATAGTTCTAATAAAATCTGGCTTAATGTCAACTGGTCTAATAAAAATACCTCTTCTTGCTACAGGTATTTCTCTATTCATACTTTTAGACCACATTAATATAACTCTGATCATTTCTACTATCAGAAAACAATAATTATTGTCAAGTATCAGAGGCTCATTCTTGGCATTCTGTTGTTGACTATGCCTTTTTCTCCTTTCATTTTTATTATAGTCAGACAGAGTGGAAATGAAGAAATTCTACCACAGCTCTATGAAGTTTTGGGTAAGCAGACCTTGTGTTATTGATGCCAATATGTAAGTTCAGACTGTAGGATTTCATAGAATTGTTTTCATTCACTAAAAATTACTGTTGGGTTAAGAACATCACCAGAAAACATTGGCTTCATGGCATGTCAATGCTCACCAACTGAAGACTGCCATCTTCATAAACAGTGTTTAATTGTAAAACAGAATAATTATAAATGCAATTATAAATATTAATTCTGAAGAATAATAATAAATTGATAAAATAGAATTAATACAATTCTCGGTTTTGATTAATTTGTGCAAGGCTATCCCCGCACACACTTAAAGGCAATAGCAGTTTGCCAGACATTCATTATATAATAAAATTTAAAGTCTTGAAATTCGATAATTCATTCAGTGAACTCATGAAGTATTTTGTGGTACAAAATTAGTCATCAATCACACAAGTAAACAAAAATTCAAACTAAGATTTACGATTTTTGCAATTTGTAGAAACAAAGATGCATTTGATTTCCAAAAATTGTTTATTTTGTTCCTAAATATTGGTTTTTGCCAACAGAATATAGGTAGTCTGTTGAATTCCCGATACACATGTAGCTCTGTGACAGAGCCCACATCTCTGAAATCTGTTATTGCCCTGTCCTCTTCTGTAAATACTTTTGCATCTGCATGCTCCTTATATACTTGAAGTTAAGCTATCCAAAAGTGTAGGATATACACTATACAGGCAAGTGAGTGGGACAGGGTCAAGCTTACAGCAAGAGAACTAAGTAGATTTGTATGGTTTTAAGTTTGCACTCTCAGTATGTTTAGTGCTCTTGATTTCTGCAGAAACTAATGAGTTGAGTGTTCTCATGACATGCAAGATATAGATACAATCTGGGAATCTGTCATATGATTAAGTACTAATTAACAGTTGCTGACATTTAAAGCACTTCTGAATAAATTTTGCCTCCTCTTAGACACATGTCTAAGAGGGAGAGAGGCCATAAAATGGCTGTTCAGCCTCAATCAATTTTTTGTTCTGGTTTGGTTTTTTCACCAGAATTCAGGTATTAACTGTATCTGACTTGCATGGCATAAAAGGTCAGTGCTGCAGGCTAGTTGCTGCTGACATGAGTTGCATCTCTCAGAGCAAAGGTATTTCTGATTACAGTGAGATGAAACCTACAGTTCCACATCCCTCTTTTGTCCCCAAATGATACCAGCATCAGCACGAAATGTCACAGGATCTTTAAAAAGGCCAAGTCAAGTTTGCCACAGCTTTCCTTGTCTCCACAGAATTACTGGAAAGAATAAAGTAGCAGATGAGAAGAGTAATCACACAGTTGATGGACTGTAGAGAGATGTTGGATATCTTAGCGATAGGGGAAGAAGCACATCCAAACATTAAAAAAGACAATATCTATTTTTTAAAAAAATCATCCTATGATGAATCTGTTGTTTGGAACACATGGATTCTGCAGGTTGCAAGTAAAGAGTCTAATTTGTGCTCCCCCAGATTGCTTTAGACAAGATGGTTTTAAAAGCTGTAGGACTTCTAAGTGCTTCTGGAGTGTTCTTCCCACCTCCACTCACCAGCCACATGCCTACCATTTTAGTCTTGTCAGAACTATTCGAATAACATAATGTATTAGTAATCAACTATCTGAGATACTGTTAATAATCCCCATGAAACAGATTAAAATCTCAGGCATGGAGTACTTAAAAAACAGAGCAGAGGAGCAAAGATGTTGGTGTTTTCAAAGAGATAATCTTGCCTGCCAGTACTTGGGAAATTACAGGCTTAGCATGCTGACTGTTCACAAATATACTCAATCATGATTCAATCTAAGTAAGTTTATGACAGAAAGGAAGTACATTATGATTGTTGTGACATTTAAATTGACCTCTGCTCTTCAACAGCTCGATGTGATATCAGTATTACCATTTGAAGTTTTATCCTTCTTCTTTGGATTTAACCCAGCATTTAGAGCAAATAGGATGCTAAAGGTAAGATCTATGTTACTGATGGATGGCTAACCACACATATATGTTTTTACAACTCAATGGGAATTTGTTTATAATATTTAGGAGTATGAAATTTAGAAATTGGAAAATATCTTCAGGATAAGATACAACATAAGTAAACAAGCCAAAAAAAAAAAATACAAGATGTAGTCTGTCCAAATGAAGCCATTATTCTCTTATTTTTCTTCTGATTTTATTATTTCCTACTTTCAAAAGGTGGTTTGTGATTGAGGCTGGTTTGTTTCAATTATTTAAATTAGATTAATCTTAAATTACATGTTTAGTTTTTTTTTTAAAAAAAAAAAAGTTAATTAATGCCAGTGTGTTTTCCCCTTCTCTTAGTAATGTCAGGTGTTTAAAAGCAAAGGAGGGAATTTTAAGGATAATATAAACTATACACAGCATATTTAGCAAGCATAAATCTACTTTTACTATTGAGTCCAAAGACTTCTGGAGTTGTGCAATGAAGGGGCTGAGAAGAGATTAGACAACAGCACTCTCCCTGCATTTCATGGTACCTAGCAGGCCACTCTGCAGCTAAATATATTCCCATTCACACAATCAATATATTGACAAAGAATTGGCTTTCATTTAAAGCTGGGGGGATAGAAAAGAACTCTGAGAATAAAATAAGGGTGTTCTTCAATTCAGTTTTCAACAAAACTTCAAAATTCCCTAAGTCAGAAATGAAAAAAATATGAAAGAATGAAAAGTTAAAGAGTACCTCATATTAGGCAAAGAGATGTGTACTGAACAAAAACAAAGTAAAAAGCTACATGCGAATATAAAGGGCTATCACTAAAGGTAAACTATAGATAATTAACAGGAAGAATTTGATACAGCAGCAACTGATACTACATGGCATATTGTCTAGCATATGGCGGTTGATACATATGATCACTTACTGAAGAATTATTGGAACTTCAGAAAGAGAAAGAAGGGATTTTTATACATGTCATTCACTCTGATAAATTTACCCAAGCAATTGTATATGTTTGAGGAAGAGAAATCATTCATCTGCAGTAGTCTGACCTGAACAGCAAGACTATTTCTATAATCAGATTAATGGGACTCAACACCCAAAACAATGTTTAACTCAGTTTTCATTTTTGTTTTTCATTTCACCTTTTAGTGAAATGTTTACAGAAACTCAGACTACTGAAAAAATCCATTTTCAAAATGTGTATGCAAACTAATGTCAGTACTATTATGAAAAGACATGTGGTGAAGAATAGTTATTGGATTACTTTCATTTGTTTTCCATTCAGCATAACACATTCTTTGAGTTTAATGATCGTTTGGAAGCTATTCTGGACAAAGCATACATCTACAGGTATGTGTTTATTAAACTCTTGTAGCATGCCAAGCTTGGCACAGAAGGCATTTCATTTGATTTCATGTGAGGCACTGGGTAGAATATGATACATCTTTAACTGTTCAATTTAAGATTTTTTAAAATAGCTGCCTTTATTTTAATCATTAAAATAATAAACGTAAATGACTCATGTATGAAGTGTAGCTCTGTTCAGCTGGCCCCATTCAGGCAAAATGTTCACCGAACTGAGGCTTCTGCCAAAATGTAATGGACCAGAGTATCAGAAAGAAGTTTCTTTAGTGAAAGAGCTAGAGAACAGTTTCTTTAGGTTGCTACTAGGAATGCCAAATCCTCAGTAGCTGTTTATTTGTACTTAATAAGAGTTATGAGCTTAAGCCTATTTCAACTTTTTTCTTCAAATATGCACTCACCATGGACCTGGCATATACAGAAACTTGATCCTCCACTGCATTGACTAAACTTGGAATGAGAATCAATTCACCACAGATCTCAAATAGTGATTATAACTGTTGTCTGCTGCACTATGTTCTCACCTTCTGCCCTGACAGGAAGAATTCTGAATCCAAATCAAGCTGTCCATAGACATGGTTATGGCAAGTTTCATAGCCCCCTCAGCTGTCAGTGATGCTGCTAAGACCCAAGGAACCCATCTACTCTGTCACCATTATTGTCATCTACTGTCAATGTCATCATCCCTAGCTTATCTTGTTCGGTTCCTAAACTGACAGATTTTTTTTTTCCCTGTCCCAGTTTTGGGTCTTTTATTTTTCCTGTGTGCTGCTGCTGCACTTGTTTACCATCTTATTCCACATCAGAGATTATTGTAATTAAAAGGTAGTCTTGGTACTTATACATTGCAACTGAGATATTTTATGAGATTTAGAAACTAAATTTGAAAAGGACGTTGAAACTCCTTCTCTTTCACATTTTCATGTATCTGTGAAATAAAACAAAACTTAGAAGTTTCAAAGTTCTGGTAAAGTATTTTTGAGATGCTGACCTCCAGAAAGCTTATTATGTTAGCCTCTCACTTACTGAAGAGCCTTTTGTGATTTATTTGGGTTTTTTACTTTCTTTTTTAAAATTCTTGTTGGTACAAGAGAAGGCTTCTCTGAATTTCCACAAGATGAACACATTCCTTGTCAGTTTCTAAATTATCATCTCTCTTATCTTCTCCAATCTTATTAAAAAGAATGGGTTTTCATCTGTCTTGTTTATACTTTTTAACTTTTTCTAATGTTGAGGACTTTTAAAATTAATTTATTGGTTTCCATATTACATTCTTTGCACTGGAGTCACAATTCAGTGACTTTTTTAATCTCCTATAATATTTACATTAGTACTGGGAGATATATATTTTTAATATAGATGGTTTTGAATTAAGTAATTAGTTCACATGTAACAATAACGTTGTGTGTATATGGATTTAAAGGAAATGGGAACAAATTAGCAAACCCATTTTCACCCAAATAAGTAGTTTTACAAGGGACAGATATACACAGTATATAAAAGTATGGAATGGGAAATGGTTGTTTAAAGTCTAAGTTGAGAATGGGATGTGCATACCTTCAAACTAGTCTAACTTTGAAGGATGTGGTGTTGATTCGTGTATCAAAAAACAAGGAAGGTGTTCATTTAGAAAGGCTAAGACACACACAGCAAGACCTCCCTGGTCCTGTAAAATGTACAAAATAGCTGGAAAGATAGAGCCAGCTACTCTACAAAGCTATTCTGCCTTTTTTAGAGTTTTGTAACTTGGTATTGGTTGAGTGCCACAACTGTATGTTGCCGCTTGTGTCTTTGCTTCCTGGTGACAGGCCTACTTATATTTTCTAATATTAAATCAGTTGCAGAATATAAATTACAGAATGTAATTATCACCAAGTGAAATAATTTTCTCCTTCATACTGTTAAGAGGACAGGAACTTGAAATGTGTAAAATAGAGCACTCTTTGTAACTAAAATGCAATTTAAAATTCCACTGAAGATGTGCAGAAAAGTAATGGTAAAACACATGTATTGCTCAGCATATATAGGGTTAACAGTATTGATGTTTTATTATCTATAGACTTTCCCATCAGTGCATTGCTAAGGTTTGTGGTAGAAAACAAATATCTGCATACTGTGTTACCAAATTGTTATATTTTGTATTTGTAAAAACACCTATTAAATACATCATGCCATGACCTGATACAATGCTTTAAAACATACTTCAGAAGACACTGACTCTCAGTTTCTGAGGTGCTCATTGATAAAAACATTTATATGGCAAATATCTTTCAACTGGCTTACTAGAAGGCATAAGGTTAAGAAAAGGGCAAATAAAGAGAGGTAGTTATACAGAGGAAAAGTACAAATGGGAGCTAATATATATATATATGTATATATATATATAAGGTTATTTATGCAAACTACTGCATTTTATTTGAATGTAGCAATGTTGTTTTGATCTGAGATCTTGGTATGGTCACCATTTGAGTGATAAGGCACCAGTTAACTGTATAATGTCAAACTACACTTCTACACAGAAAGTGTATGTGCCTGGGTGGATTTTCTCCTCAAACTCGTTGGCTTGAATATGTAGGAATAGAGCTAGCAAAAGTCACTACATCTTATCTACCCATTGCAGTAGATTCAACATGTGCTTAGAGAACTATAATAATACATATTGTAGCAAAGGCTTCCAGAACCTTTACTCAGACCTCAGGAGTCCACTTGCATAGATTCAGACTTGGGCACAAGACCCAGCATGGTCAATATTGCGTTATATTGATGCAATCGGTATAGATCACATCGGCTATCTGTTCTCAATAGCTTGCAACCCAAAAATACTGTCCTGGAAGCACATCAATGTTTAAATAGAAGTGGCATTCATTTGCCAACATCCTAAACAAGAAAAGTACATGTAGGTAGATTGCTCAATGGCATGGAGAGGCGAAGGAGGGCATGCAATGGCACCTGAAGAACCAGCAAAAAAGTGCATAATACAGAAGCAACCACAGAGATATTATCTGCCATTACCTTAGTTTATCTTAGTTTATCCAACTTAGTGGATAAACTAAAGTGGGTAAGTGGATCTTACTAAATTTTCATAAAACCACACATTCAGTCACTGTGCACTGCAAACTGCATTGCATTCTAGCTGTACCAGATGAACTCATTATGTACCAGCCTCACTGTTTAGGAAAGTCCTGTACTTTTCCTATTTATTTATCCCTTGTTTGTATGAATATTTGAATGGAGAGCTAAATCCAGATTTTTCTTTTGACCTCCGTGGTCAGAGGATATGCAATGAGATCATTATTGTATTAAACAGAAAGCTGCTTGGTGCTTAAGTAGTTCATCACTGGCATTCTTCAGAGAACTGGCCATAAGCATAAGAACTGGGATTAGAAATGATATAACCCCTGCTATAGCCAGTAAATCATACTATTTAGCAGGCTTCCTAGCACAGCTCTTGTAAAGCAGTTCATTTCTGACCTCAGACATTTCTTGGCTTTAGTTCACAAGTTTAGAGCCTATCTTGAATACTTTGGCAAACATGTTCATTTGTACCCTTTAGCCTCATTAATATAGCTTCAAATTTCTGTAAATATTCTTAGCCAGTTAAAGAAGTGGATTATAAAGTTCACAGGAAACCATAAATTAAAAATTACTCTGTGTCAAATATTCTAGGAAAGATATTTACTTGACCTTGGACAAACGTGAGAGACAGGTAAGTGCCAGCTATTCTTTCACTGAATCAATACAGGTTGGGACCTACTTAGTGAATGCTTAACATAAACATTGCTGATCAAAAAAAGCAATGGGTTCCATATTAAAATGAAGGAAAAATGTAAGCTGTTTTACAGGAATCTGTTGACTTTTATAGGGTCATTCGAACAACTGGATACTTGCTGTTTATCTTGCACATTAATGCATGCCTGTATTATTGGGCTTCAGACTATGAAGGACTTGGCAGCACTAGATGGGTATACAATGGCAAAGGAAACATGTAAGTCCTTTTCTCTTGCAAGAGATTTTTGTTGATTTTGCTCCTTCCTGAATCCCTCTCCTTTTCCCATGCCTTTGATTACAGAATATGCCCTTACTTTACTGCTTGGATAGCAATCTTTTAGCACCGTGACTGCTGATTAGCAGCTTTCATTACTAACATATTTGGTGGGCAGGTGCAGTGAATAATCAGTTTACCACTTTCAGCTTTTATAGGTTTATGAGTCAGTGCTAAGCACTAACTTAATTAAACATTTAGAAAGCAACAAGGGTCATAAATTAAATTTACTGATTACATACACACATGGGAACTGTTAGAAGGATTGCAGAACAATGCCTCAGAGGAATCAGGCACAGGGTTTTTTTTTCTGCTACATAGCATTTTGTCTTTAAAATGTAACATTTTGGTCCTAAATGCCATGGTGATTGGTCTGAAAAAATCCACTCACTTTCTCTGATCTTTTCAGAAGGTCATGATTAAACACGTGGTAGAGTGTCTCTAGTGGGAAGGACTGAATAATGGCACTCTTTTCCACAAACTCCTTGTGACAGTACTAGTCTGGGTATCAAGTAAGGGACATTCATTAAGAGAAAATAGCAAAGTCATAATATATTTTGTGTATAGTTATATGAAAACATATCTAGTAGTTTCTGATGTATGAACATTCATTTCTTTCAAAGGCCATAATATAGTTAAAGCCACAGAAGCTCAATTTGTCATTAATTACTTTCTTTAAAAAACCACATACACTATACTACTGCTGTTATAAACTACCCTTTAAACAATTTTTCACATTTCTCTTGGAGACGTGCTCCTGTTGCTCGTAATTTTGTCACTTCATGAGTTTAGTGTGAAGTCCCTGCCTTGAAGGGTAAGCAAGTAGCCTTTGAGATTAAAACACACTTTTTGTAAAGCAGCATTGATTTTTTTTTTTATAATTAGGGGTTTCTGTTTAAAAAAATGGCATTGGCTGAAGTTTCCACTAAAATGCACAGATTTAGTACTGCAGTCAGACATGTGCAAGCAGGGTCATGGAGCTCAGTGGGACCACTTATGTAAGTTTATACACAGATATTTGTTCACAGGATCAAGGCTTCCAGAAATCTGACAAGAAAAATGCAGAATTAATTTCCATTATAGCTATTTTTGTTAATGTTATTCTTGAGAATACTTGCCTCATAATTGAAAAAATAAAGTAACTAAGACTGAGCAACCTGAAAACTCTAAAAGTAGACCACTTACTCAGCCTTCAGGTTTTTAATGCTTCTTCAGAACAGCCTAGAGAACAGGCAAGAAAGTCTTCCTATTTTTCATAGACGAGAATATTTTACATTTCTCACAGGGAAACAATTGGTAGAAATTATTTGTTAGATTGATCACAGACAATGATGTTGTGCCTAGAGGCAATGGTCAGGTTTTTTAATGTTTTGTGATACCTTTTCCATGAGGAGACAAAAATGTTTATCAAATGACATCACACTGAAAACAAACGGGATTTAGGGCAGAATTTTTAATAAATAATAATAATAAACTGATAATTCAAAGTCCGCATTAAACCAAGGTACTGAAAAAAATGCATATTAGAATATATCCATGTAAACTTCATTAAGCCATCAATCTACTTCATTTTGACATTGGTTGGTAAATGTATGGCTTTTTATTCTTTTGCCTGTATCTAACTCAATACTGGATTATATGGTCCCATGTACTTGGGACCCCAAAGAGTATCCCATGTTGAGCTGCATTTCATAAAGTATCCCACTAACAGCAAATGCCTTCTGTATGGGATCGTCATTGCTTTAGAGAATCAGGCATGACATAATGTCTGATTGCCGAATTTTTTGGGATTTTTGACAGAGTCGTGTTATTATTGGAGATGCAGTGTGAATTTAAACATATCAGACAAGATACTTTTATGTATATTCACTTTATTGGAAAGCAGGAATTAAGAACAATCAGGGAAAAATCCGTCAGAAAAAGTGACAAGATCTGCATTGTATATTATGGCACAACAGTGCAGATGTAATTTCCTTTCACACAGTAGAGTTGCAAACAATTGAAGCAAAATATGCCATTGGTCGCACACAGAATGGGAACACATTCAGAAAGAAGACAAACATAGCTTCTTCACTAATTAAAAAAAAAAAAAAAAAAAAAAAAAAATAAATCAAAATTCTAGTGGTCTCAGATTACACTGACCCAAAGAAAATGATCTGGTACTGATTTAGTGGCATGAATGTTTTATGTAGAATCCCTGCTGTGTCCATAAAACCTTGTTAGTTTTGGCCAAAACCAGTTCTTAAAAATGTCAACACTTCTAGGATCATTTCTTTTCCTTTCCAGGCTAAGAATAATATAAAGACAACTGTTTCTCTTATCAGTTTGATTATATATAGGTTCCTGAGCAGGCATACTAACTAGTGAACTTCAATTTTTAACTAACAGCTGTACACAGCACTCAAACCACAAGCAAAATTATCAGAGTAGCTTTGTTTGCACATTTCTGCTAGCTGTATTCTTTTCCAGATCATGTCCAGACTCTAAAGTGTTACTTACCAGTCCAAGAAGACTTGAACCCTTTTGCATGGCAGCCTTCAATCAAAGCCTTTGACCTGAGGTGCAAAAGGCAGTCAACTTTATCCCCCTGCAACACACCCCAATTAGCCACAAAAGATGTTCCCAGCATTAAAATGGCACTCATGAGCAGATATACCTCGGTCTCTCCTAATGCAGGATAGCATCCCTGTTGCAACACCATAGTGTAGAGCCTATGTAACCATGACAGCAAGATATTGAAAAGATGTCTTAATTACAGCTAAGTGAACAATTTTAACTATATGTGTTTATTTGCAATCTAATTTAACCACCTAAGAGATTGGTCTCTAATTCCTCAAGAAAATGGACAAATCCTCTAGAAAAGGATTCAAGGCAGGAATGTAATGTAATTGTTCTGAATTGTCCCATGGAAGTACTTGCCTCTTTCATCACAGTCCATCGGGGAAACTAAAACTAAAGATCTGAAATTCTTATGCAAACCTCCCAGGTTAGTGCTATACTTAAGCAAAACAAATCATTCCATTTCTCTTATGGTATATTTCTTCTGCTGTTTTCAAGGCACCCACAAGTAGTCTGCAAAATTCTCCAGCATATTTACTAATCAAGACATCTATTTGCAACCTGATTATGTTTCTCTGTAGCTTGCTGCCTTCCTGCTCTGGGCACAGATTTAGCAGATATCTGTAAGTCCCAGAAGATGGTCACTGTACATGTCTAGAACAACTCTGATATGCATTGCCTAATGCACTGTAAGACTGACATAGTTTATAAGGTGTTTCGGGGGTATCAGCTACACACTGCACTTGCAATAGGTCTGAAGTGTCACACTTGCTGTACAGAAGCAGTTTCTGTACAGTGTCTCCGGACAATGTGCGAATGCACAGCCCAGCTCATAAGTATGTCAGACCTAATGCTTTCAGACCTGCTTCTTGAGGCTGTACTTTTTAGGTAAAGGCTTTGCATTTTGTACCATTCTGTCTGAGATCATCATAACCACAGTCACATGACTTATTAGTCACTCAAGAAAAAGAGGTTTCAAGAAGGAGGTCATTAGAGTATCAGTTTATACAAGCCACTTTACTCTGCTTAAACACAACCTGGTTGTAGTCTGAGAGGGGTCAAATGTGATAGCCCTGAAATAATGCTCCCCTGGGCTGAAATGAATGTGTGAATACCGCCTTAAAATCTGATAGCCACATGCACAAAAATATGATTTACCTGTATTAATCAAAACCATGTAAGAAGTTGAGTGTATTCTGAAATGGACTTTTATGAAAAAGATATTTCTATTGGCATAGTATTACAAGGTATCCTATTTGCAGTGTTTCTGAATGTTTTCATACCTTGGACTTATTGTAGGGAAAAATCTAGTAGCTCGATTGCCTGAAGGATAAACATGCTCTTTATGTTGTGCAGAGAGAAAATCCCTTTCTTGTCTCATGTTGTTTGCTTCAACAGCAATTTTATAGCAGGCTAGTAAGCTGTATGGTGAGCAGTGATGGTTTCCAGACACTAGCTATAGGAAGTAGAACTGCTAATACTGTTGAAATAGGAATCTGTTTTTTCTGGCTTTCCTTAAACAAAATTTACAATCTCATTTCTCTCCTTCTTAGGGGGAAAAAAAAAAAAAAAAAAAAGCTGCTTTATATTTCAACTGTTTAACTTTCATTTCATTTTCATTTCATTAAAATAAAAACAATAAAAAGAATAAGTGGAGAAAATATAAAACCAGTGCCTAAGAGATAGTGAATACCCTGTGACTTTGTCAGTAGAAAGTTTCTTCTGAAGTAAAATTATAGACGCATACCTGTATTAACTACATCTTCAGAAAGGGGTGGGCCGATCTGAAAAAAAAAACAACTCACATATTGTATATACAACACTGCAAAGAAGAATGTGACCCCTAAATTCCTTTGAGGAGCTGCTTTAATTCTTTGTAGACATTTCCAGAATGAAGATTATATTGTCCATCATGGTGGACTTCACAATTTTGGCATCCAAGACCATTGGGTGTGAGGGAGTTGGTTAATTACTTTTGTTTCTTGTAGTCACTAGCACAGAAGTAATGTTAATTTCTTTACTTTTATATTAACAAATTATACATGTTTCAAGCACTACAGCTCACTTATGGCAAACGAATATGATATTAATATGCTTTATATTTATATGCTTTATATTTATAGCTCAGACAAGCTAAAGACATCATTTTATGCTGAAATCTGCAATTCTTTCAAAACAGATCTGAGGGTTTTTTCTTACTATTTATTCATGCTACAGAAGTCTAAAAGAAAGCTGCCACATGCATATTTTGCTGGAAACAAGCATAGGTGATTTTTTTCTTTTTTTTAACCCGTGAAAATATTATAGTGCCATAATTTTGCACTCCTAACAAGGAAAAATTATATGATGTCAGATATGCAATGAATTTTTTGATTTAAGGACTCAGAATGAAAACAGCCAGTTCTGGCTGTTGAAATCTAAAACTAGAAAACTATGGTAAAAGTCATCATTGTTATTGCATTTCATTAATCTACAACCAAGAAAAAAGTGACTTTGTAATGAAAAGGAAATGCTTGGTAAAGCCTGGCATTTTAGGTGAAAGACTTGGAAACACTTCTGAGTGATTTAAATAAAACTCCTCATTGGAATTTGTGGCTATTGAGTTTGTTTTTCTCATATTTGCACAAAACTGGCTCTCCAGTTGTATTGTTACATAGAACATTTATTAATAGGATTGGAGTTCATATGTTAGTAAGAAAGGAATTTAAAAGTGAAGGCCAACAAATTAAAACGTACATCTCAAATCTGCAAGCAGGTCAGAGAGCCCCAGATTCAGGGTAACCATGAGAAGGTGCATGAAAGACTATCCATTTCAAAACAAACATCTCCAAAAGTATTTCTGCTGTGTGGGTTTTTTCTTTTTAATTATTCTTTCAAACTCAATAAAATTCAACAAATAGAAGGAATATTCATTGCTTCAGAAGCAATATCATGGCCTCAAGTTGCACCAGGGAAGGTTTAGACTGGATATTAGGAAGCATTTCTTTACAGAATGGGCTGTTAGGTGTTGGAATGGGCTGCCCAGCGAGGTGGTGGAGTCCCCATCCCTGGAGGTGTTTAAGAGTCGGGTTGACATAGCGCTGAGGGATCTGGTGTAGTTGGGAACTGTCAGTGTTAGGTTAATGGTTGGACTGGAGGATCTGCAAGGTCTTTTCCAACCTAGATGATTCTGTGATTCTGTAATAGGCATAGAGAAAATAATAGAAAATCTCATTGTACATTTAAGGAAAACGAACTTCAACTCCTAATCATTAGTGAAGCTGAAGTATGATTGTACAGAGATTTAGGAAGTCAAATTCCAATTAATATGAGGCTTTAAAAGATATTCCTAAACCAATTACTTGTTAGCTAAGAAAAGCAGGAAATTATAGCATATTCATGACAATTATTTGAACTAATTAATCCCCGCTGCACAGTATGGGGGATGTTGCTCTACTGCTAGCGATGCCATGTTCTTGAATGAATTTTAAAACAGAATCTAAGAGATCCAAAAGCAATATATATATATATATATATATATATATATAAAATATATATATATATATATTTAAAAAAAAAAAAAATAGTATGACTATCCTGACAAAATAATAAACAAAAAATTAATTCTCTCCAGGTCCTTTGTTGTTTTCATAAATTTCTGTTATCATACTAATGGAAATACACTGCTTGAATGCAACAGGCTCTCTCGTGCACAAGGCAGTACAAAGAGGGCTGTATAAACAGAGCAAAAAATCTTTATCCAAAAATCTCACACTTCAGATATGAGAAGTGACAGACAGCTGACAGATACTGTGAAGGCATCAATATAAGCCATATGTTGAAGCAGAGTCTTAGTGACTGACCATTGCTCACTGCTATATTTGGTTTCTAGATCAAAAGTTTTCTGTGAAAAGTCTTGAAGGGCATTAACAAGGTGGTTTTGTAGTCATTGATGGAAAGCTCTTCCCATGCATGAGGGAAAGTAGTGAAGAAGGCAAGAAAGTATTTGTTAAGGTGACAAAAATAGTAGTGGAGGCCAGTCACCAGGAGAAGTTAGTGGAGGGGTCAGCCTTTCAGTGTTGAACAAGTGAAGTGTTCGGAGAAGCTGGTTTAAGACACAGCTTGTGGAAGTATGTAGCTTCTGCTTGACTTAACCCAGGAGGCAGAGCCAATGAAGGGTGCTCAGAAGCAGAGTAGGAGGAAGACCAATGTGGTTAAAGGGGTAGGAATATGAATGGACATGAGAAGACCAACACTGCATTTGTTGTGTCCACCATAAGGCTTCACACTGGTGTCATCCAGTGAAGCCCTGGAAGAGACTTTCAGATGTATGAGCATCTAGTATGCTACAGATAAACTCTGGGGAGTCTCTAACACTTTTACACTGTTTGTAACAGCATGGGATCTTCACTAGCAGTATTCTAACACTGTACCGGCCACCTTGGCGATTTGTTACAGAAGTTTTCTGTAATGCTGCATAGAGTTACTGAAGAAGAGTAAGCAACCGCTGCATTTCCCACATATTCTTATTTTGCTGTCAGTAAGAACATGCAGAATAATGTGATTTACATAACTCTATCATTTGTAAAATCAGAACTCTTTATAAAAAAATACTGAAGATCTTTTGGACTGAAAAGCATCAAAGAAAGGCCCAGCTCAGGTAGGTATACTCTTACCTTCCACCACATTACTGCCTACAGTCAATAACAAAAATGCTGTCTGTATTCACAGGTATCTGAGGTGTTACTACTGGGCGGTTCGTACTTTAATCACAATTGGTGGGCTTCCAGAACCACAAACTCTGTTTGAGATAGTTTTTCAACTGCTGAATTTTTTCCTGGGTGTCTTTGTCTTCTCCAGCTTAATTGGTCAGGTAAATAAAAAAAAAAAAAATAAATCAATAACTACATATGTTCAAATTACTGTAATGATTATATATTAAATTTAATGGAGTTTAGTTCTGGGAAAAAGCTTAGCTTCCATCTGAATGTCCCTCTATTTAACTGTCATCTTTACTTACTCTTCTGACAAATACATGTGTTAATCAGTTCCCAGTTTTGTAGCCCTTTTGCACACAAGGTGATATAAAGCCAAGACTCTGCAGGACATGGATGATTCTTCAAAGTATGAATAATTCCTTTTTTCTTTCTCACAGCCAGTGAGAAAGTTCCTTAACATTCACATTATGTTGTTAAGTCTGATATAAAAATTATAATTGTAGATATAATATCAATATGTACAAATTATTTAATGTCACGCTCGGTACTACTGCCAATAGAATGCTGTTAATGGAAATCCCATTTTTGTCAGACTGGAATTCTGCTTTTTTCTATAAATCACAACACATTTGTTAACCTGAAAATTAATTATTTTCTATATGTCTTCACTCTCATCTGACAGGAGGGGAAAAAAAAAACAAAAGCCCATAGCACAGCAAATCAAATCACTTTGCAAATGAATAACACTGAAATGATTCTGGCTTGTAACTATTAAACTTGGGCTTTAGATCCCTAGGTTTTAAAGTACCTTGCCTACAGAAAAACAAATGCCATGGTTCCTATATAATACTGTGTCTTATTGGATTCCTGTAGAAATCATTCCCGACTTTTTGATTTGTACATGTCTGCTATTGGAAGAATTATTATGAAAAAAATAAAGATGAAAAGTGAAATTTAATTTTTATTTTGAATACAGGATTCAAAAAGTTCAACAAAACAGTTCAAAATTGCAAATGTCTCTTGCTGTTTAGAAGTACAAGAGACAACCATCATGAAACAGACTACTGCCTATAGGATTTAAAATTCATCCACAAACAAGAATTACCAAAAATAAAACAAGTATCTAATATAAAATATTTCTTCTAGAGAACTATTGATTTCAAGTATATTGGATTAAACTTCAGAGTTTACAAAATTATATTTTTTTCCTAAATTGATGTAACTGTCAATGACAGTACCACACAGATTCTGCAGATTAGTTTTTGTAACCGGTAGAGTCACTTGCAGACTCAAACCTTAATTTTTAACACACAGACAACTTCATAGCAGTTTGTTATAATTTATAAAGAGCTCTTAAAATTACTGAGTTATTCCTGATTTAGCACACTGGCCTAAAAATTGTTATTGCTACAGCAATCAATTACATCTCTATAATAAAGAGGAGAACTCAGCCCACCAGCACATGAATCCTTGGCCACTGCAATATGAAACCATTCTACTAAAAACTTGACTATATAGTTAGGCTTCCGAAGAAGGAATACCTATGAACATTAACTCATCCACTTTCTAAAAACTAAATTACATTTGTGTTGGTGTGTTAAATGATGTTCCTGCAGTAAAAACTTCAAGGTCACCTTTCAGCTCAAAGTGCGTTTTTAGAGCATGATCTAGATTCTCTTAACTATTTAAATAGTGGTAGGATCTTAATTCTAGTGGTGCCAGTTGATGTTATTAGAGAAATTTAGCCCAGTTTGCTTCAATTCTGACTCATATTGCACACCAAATGCGAAGTAGTTTTATTATGGAATTTTAAGTGAAGCATCATCTATAATTTTCATCCATGCGTAAAAATATGAAACAGAAGAATAAAAATCCAAAAATGATCCCTTTAAAATCATATACACTTTCCAACACAATTAGACTAAACCTGTACTGCTCCTGAAAAAAACGGATGAAGCACCTATTCAAAACATGCAGATGAATGTATTATTAATCAGTGATTTTGAAAAAAAAAGTGTTTTATTCTTTTTATATGTTGTTGACAAGATATTCAAATCAAGACTATTTTTATTGAAATGTGTAGTAACAACAACTGATATTTGCAGATGAGAGATGTTATTGGAGCAGCAACAGCAGGACAGACCTATTACCGTTCCTCTATGGACAACACTGTCTCCTATATGAACACTTACTCTATTCCAAAAGCGGTCCAAAATCGTGTTCGAAAGTGGTATGAATACACATGGGACTCTCAAGGAATGCTGGGTAAGGCTTTCCAATTCCAGTTACGTAGCAGCTCCAAGTGAGAGTGGTTGTACAGATACACATATAGGGTGAAATTCACATTTCTTTTCTGAATTGCATTCAATGTACTTTAGAAAAGAAGAAACTCCAAAGCAATATGATGCTTACTACTTCACAGATTCTATTATTTATACATAGCTACAGTAGTTATACAGTAGTTATAGCTACAGTATAGTTATAGCTACAGTAGTTATAGCTACAGTATTGTAGCTATAACTTCAGACAAGATATGTAACTTAAAAGACAATATCTTAGTAAAAGCATGTTAGCAGTTTTCTCATTTGAACTCATGAATGCTAGAATAGCTCCATTAAATTATGCATTTTTCTGTAAGTGTCCATTTTTATAGACATTCTTTTATGTTTTATATTTTCTAACTAGTAGAGTTTGATTTTCTTTTTTTCTTTTACAGACGAATCAGAATTACTGGAGCAGATGCCAACAAAAATGCAATTAGCCATTGCAATTGATGTGAACTTTGCCATTGTCAATAAAGTTGACTTATTCAAAGCAAGTAGTTTTGCAGAAGAATGCAGAAATGTGTGGCATTCTTGAAACAGAAACCTTGTTTTGTGCATCTTGCAACACTTAAGAATCTGTTAATATGCAAGGCAAAATAACTCAAAGAAATCTGTTAATGGAGACATGTCAGGACAAAGCCAAGTGCCTGGATTTAAATTTTTTGTGTCAAAGTAGATATAAGAAAAACAAATGAGATTAAGACATAGTCCTGTTATATCAACATACTAAAGCTGATGTCATGGTCAGATTGTAAGTGATTTCAGAGTATAACTAATCTCAAGAATCAGATGTGGAACGTAATTTTTAATACAGCCCACCTTGCTGTATATTGCCTAAGTCTGCCTGAGAGATCACATATGCTATGTCTTCTGGAAACATAACTTTGATGTAGTGAATGCTACTTTTTAGGAACTGTTGTGCAAAGTAGCCTTCTCTTTATTATCATGATAGCTTTCCATAGATACAATTTACATGTAGTACTTAAGACTGGATTTCTGACACCAAAATGAAGAGACACTGCATTTTTAGAAGCAATGTTGAAATACAGTAAGCTTAACACTAATTTGTTTGTTAGGGTAATTACATATCTCTTTATAAACATTACATAGCTTGCACAGTTTCTGCCACATTTGCTGAAGATGTGGAATTCATACATTCATAACAACACTTGACACTATCTGGGCTTTTTCCCCTAGATAAGTAAAAAATATTCACATAAAAGACCATAAAGCTCTGAACATAGCACTAACTGAGCTTCCATAGCATTTCTGATGTACAGAATCTTACTTTGCAGAAGAGATGTTCAACCCAAAGAGCACTCTATAAGTATTTAAAATGACAAACATTTCAGTCTTTTCTCTTCTCTAAAAGCTGATTCAACGTTTTGAGTTTCCATTCCACTTATGAAACCCTAGATCATTCATGTACTGTTGAGTTTTGCTGCCCAGTGTAAGCACTAATAGTCACTTGTGCTACTGAATTAATAGAGAAAACCATTCTAATTATTTTAACAGGGGTGCGATACCCAGATGATATATGACATGCTGTTAAGGCTGAAATCCATTGTATATTTACCTGGTGACTTTGTCTGCAAAAAGGTGAGCAGTGTTGTCTCTTTCAAATAATAATTATAGTATGTATTTTAGAAAAAGAGTTCAGATATCGGTCAACAGTGTCCTTTAAATAAAGTTAATCCTGTGTGAATTAAATACCATCAAAGTAATTATGGTAATCTGTGTAATAATAACAAATGTGCTCTCAAATTTCAACCTGGAACAAGACAATATGGATTTTATTACTTAACATCATCAAACATAAAATTATAGTAACATGGGAAAGTATTTAATGTAAATATGGCTTATCTAATGATACAAAGATTATTTTTTTATACATCTATACATACAAACCTAGACTACAGATCTCAATCTCTGATGCTTTGTATGTGCTTCATTTGTGTACTCAGAAACTCTTAAGTGAAATTATCCAAGAATGTAGAAAATACACTGCATTCCATACTGCTCCTTACAGCAGGATTTGATCTTGCTCTACCTTCACTCACAGCCCTGAACCATCTCCTGACTTCCAGCTGAATGCTGTCACACTGTCCCCTTAGAAAAGCATCTATCTTCTCTTAGCATTTTGGCTCAAACATGGCCCTACAGTAACAGGTGGATGGCTCAGCTTCTGACCAAGTAAGCTCAAATCTCTTTTCAGAAGGCATGGAAGCATACTCATGGGCAGGGTAGGATGTAATGAAAGCGTAGCAGAGGATGAAGTATCAGTACTGTTACTGTTCTGGCAAGTGACCCACAGTTCATGCCACACCCAGAGTGACCATCAGAACCCCTTTACTTGTCTTTAGCAGTTCTGGTCCAGCATGTTCACTAATGTCCTGCTCCCTCCAAGAGTTAAGCATATGATCCTCTTCCTGAATGCTGAGTTAGTCCCACTGACTCCACCATGTAGGAAGTTAAACATTTGTGAATGCACCAAAGGATCAGGTGTGTCCCTTCAAAGATCAATCCCAGAATTACTGTTGGCTAGGAAAGGCAGAAGAGTAGTTTGGTGTGTTTGTTTGTACACTCTACTACAACAGGGACTCTAGTACAACAGTACTCTAGTATCTATCCCTCTAGTAGGGACTCTACTACAACAGACATAATAAATGACAGTAACAGATTCAAGGACTTGATCCTATAGCCAGATGCAAAACTTTCTCAATAAGAATGGATTATGAGATATTGAAGTACCAATTTATTACAGCTTGAAGTACCAATTTATTACAGCTTGATTCAGAGCTAAAAGGCTTGTATAGATCTACTATGTGGCCAACAACCATAGTAACCCTATTAATGCTTTAACACGTAGTAGGGAATAAAGCTCTGTTGGAACCACCTCCTCCTTAGACATATGTTGGTCTCATCGTATTTTACCGAGGAGAGACTGCATGCAGGTTTGGAGGACCAAGTGAAGAGGTAGGAAGTGGTTTCAGTCCTGGATTTGTTTCTGTTGCCTTTTCACTTTTAAAATGGAGTTGCTGCTTTGCCTCAGTTACTCCAGCTGCACAAGTGGAAAAATCGTTATTTGCCTGCCTCACTGAGATGTTGTGAGGACCTGTTATGATCATGGTTGTGACGTGCATTATATATGCTTTTTATGCTTTTTTTTATGCTTATTTGTGCTTTTTATTGTATATACTGATTTATTGTATATACTGATGTCACACCTTTAAATCATATTAGATCATGTAGAGGATAATAAACAAACCGACAATCTCTTAAACCATTCAATGATTACATAAAAGTTGACAAAGTTTTGAATTACTGTTTATTTTTATTTTAAGATAGGTAAGTGATGATTACAAGTAATAGTGTAAAAACTGAAGCTTTTTAGACCATGAAGCATAGGCTTTTTTGCATTTTTTGCATTTATAATGCTGAAGGACTTTAGTTCCCCCCAGAACAGTTGATGGAAATGACTATTACAATCCTGATTATCTAGTCTTCTTTTTCCAAGTTGACCTATATGGTCTTACTCCTGTTCAAATATGGCCCCACATCACAATCAGAACCACCAAAATCAATTCCTGCATTTGAGCTCAGTGCTAGGAAAAGTACTGCAAACATTTTTTTCCCTATAATGCTGGTAAACCTGTTTATGAGAGAGTGGAAAGAGATTTAAGGAAGAGTCTGTCGGATTATTCTAACAAGAAAACACTGCCCTGCTAACACAAGGGAACTTTATGTGTTTGTGTGCTCAGGGAGAGATTGGCAGAGAGATGTACATCATCAAACAAGGTGAAGTTCAAGTCCTTGGAGGCCCTGATGGTACAAAAGTCCTGGTTACACTAAGAGCAGGAGCCGTATTTGGGGAGATCAGGTAGATTCATTCCTATTTTTAACACTTTCTTTAGAACTGGTCAAATAATCAATGGTTTGACTTCTCTGTGGTAAGCATAACAGCTGCCATGAGGGCTGGAAAGTAGGTAGGATCAACCAAGAGGACACTGCGCAAGGAGATGCAGGTACATGAAGAAAAATCTATATGTGAAGCATCTGAGACCAGTGTTTTGGACAATGTACACAGGAATATACAGACAAATTTCTACTTCAGCATTTAAGATTTCACACACCCTCCTGTTCCAAGGTCTGCAAGAGAGCAAGACATTTTATTGCCTCTATAGTAAAACTAGCTGCCCTTACACAGCAGATAGTAAACGTTATTATTAATTTCCAACAAAAGAGATAAAAATATAAAATAGCAAATAAAATGAGTTCATTTTAGGAGCTGAAGTAGGGATTAAGTTGCCACAAATCAGGCATCTAAGTTCGAAAATATATTTGTTTAAGAGCATACACAAGAAAAAGGCTGACAGACTAGATTTTTGGCTGAGTTTATCTTGAGGAGAAAATTTTTCTCTGGTGGCTACAAACATTTTTTTACATTCTCATGCAGTTGCTATGCAAAATTCATTAACTCTTCTGTGCCATGTTCCCCAATTAGCCATCCAAGTGATGGATTTTAGGCACTGCAGCTCCTGCTGAGGTTGGCCTCAGGAAAAGTAAAATACATGTGCTGCTGCATGTGATAAACTGGATCCTTGATTTCTTCCAGCTGCCTTCCTGTTATTGTTAATCCTCTTGCTAGTAGCTTTAATCTGCCTTTTGAAAAGCAGCAATCAGCTCTGTGCCAGGTTTACAGTTATCTTCTACTTGTGTCTCCCTTTGTAGTAGGGAAAACATTCCTGTTTATTCAGTGATGTTCATACAGAGCTTGCTTAGACCTCAAGTGGAAAACACCTGATGTATCCCATAGATACAGACTTTTTCATTGAGTGGGAAAGTGAAATTATATCAGCTCTTTGAGAGAAGGTTACTTGAAAGGTGTTTCTCTTTGTGACAATATAATACCTGAGCAAAGCCTAAACCAAAATGGTGTATTGTAAATTATGTGGAAAGGCTGAAAATGCACTGTTTTTCAGTAAGGGCTGAATAATTAAAATATAAAAGAAAAAGCTACAGCAGCCCAGATATGTAACACACACACAGTTTTCAATTATTTATTAGTCTTGTATTTGGAGCAAGGACTTTATTTTTTAGACTGAGAAACAATAATGTTTGGTTTTAAAACAAGGAAGGGATTTTCAAACTGTTGATCTAATACAGGTGAGAACTTGTTTCCATGTGAGAAATACTCAATGGCCTTTAAAGATCCATGTGTTACTCTTTACATAATTTCCAATATGACCAGTGAAACCATCAGCAATGTTATAATCCTATGCCTGTAGTCTTGTTTTATTCATCATTCACCTACTGAGGCAGCATACCCATTCAGACACATGTAATTTGCATATAAATGTCAGGCAGTGGATAAACTCGAGGAGAAAAGACACAGTAACTGGCAGGCATCTCCAAAATTGAAGAAAGGAAAGGACATGAAGCACTAAGAGTAGCAGTAGAGATTTATCCTCTTCCTTGTGACAAGGTGTTAAAAAATAATGAGTTTGTATAGTGCCTTTCTTTATAAGTTTTGTCAAGGTCTTCTGAATACCATATAGTGAAAGCAAATGAAAAAAATACTCTTTAACAGATGAAAAATACCTTCATTTAGCACATCCAATTTTTCCCCTCAGTATTCATAGCATAGTTATCACCTGATACCAGATTGATTTTCTTCTGATTTCTGATTCAATATTTGTTTATAGAAATAGGTCAGCTTCATTCAAAGTGGTTTACATGATTTATAAGACACTTGTTATTTAATCTTACTCTGTTCATGTAAATGCATGTAAATGATTAAAAAGTCTGAAGGCAAAGAAGTTGAAGAAACAAAAAAATGTTTATTTTTTAAAATTTCCCTGAATTATATTAGAAGGCAAATGCACGATTAATGCTCAGACAAGTCCTTTGCCAATTTCACCCTTGAAAATTATTATAGAAACAGATTAAGTAATCGAGTTGTCTTCCAATTAACATCTTACTCTCGTTATTACTTTCCTGTATAGATAATATCAGTTTGGGGAAGCAAAATAATCTCAGAATCAGAGGCAAACAGATTGGCGCTTTAATGAGAGCCTGTCTGCACAGATAATTGAGAAAGAGAGAAATTCAGCTATAACACAACACTTCATTAGCCCAGAGAAATTTACACTTTAAGACAGATGTCCTCATTCATCTGTTTACTGATATTTCCTGAAGTATTTGCTATCAGAAAATGGTAATTCTGAAAAAATTAAAACATTTATCCATTATATATAAATTACAAATTAAAAAAAAAAAATCACCATTATATATAAATTATATACAAATTTTTGAAAGAAAAATCTCTAAATGTCTGGTCTTAGGTTTAACCTTTCAGCTGCTTTGTAACTAACTTTTATGAAAAAAAAATCAAAACTACATGGAGTATTTAGCTTTGTGAAAGATTTCATTTTCCACTTTGGCCCAGGATTCCCCATGAAGTGGCAGCTCTGCTTTTCAGGGAGCTCTGCCCTTTGCTGCTTGACATCCTGCTCCGAAGCAGGGTCCAGACCTATTTCCCGTTCCTGACTCACCAGTTCTCTCCATATGCACATAGGTGCTGAGCTGAGCTGACACAACCCTGCACGTTCACCTGACATGCACGCTATTCCCTGGATCAATGAACAGCAGCTTCCTACAGAGATCAGCTACAAAAAAAAAAAAAAAAAAAAAAAAACAAAAAACACAAAACCAAACAAAAAAACAAGTTATCATTTTGATAACTTTATACCTTGAAATTAAATTTGCTAGCATAAGAATTCAAAAGTTATCATTTCATACTAATATTACATCATTTCAGGCAAACAACTGGAGAAATAAATGTAAGGTGAAAAAAGCAAATTTCTCTATTAATGTAGATATTACATTACCAAGAACCATTGCAAGGCAAATGTAGTTATTTTAAAAAATTTGGTCTATCAACTCCCTCTCAGCACACTAGCCAAAATAGATTCAAGTCCATAAAGCTGTCCTTAGTCAAAGATTATTCTTCTTGAGCAAGGACTGCCTTACTTGTAAAATTCACCTCACATCATCACCGTAATGAAAAGGCTGATCTCTTTAGTCCGAGTCTGCCTCAATAAAATGAGCTTTCTGTTAGGAAAGCCTGAAAATTATTGTTCAATGACTTATTGAGAACTGATTCATTGGAAGTCAAAAGCTGTTTGCAATTTTTTTAGTTGCTTTTCTTATTGTGCAAATAATTTTATTCTTTCTGAGGAATTGTACAGAACTGTTTAAAAAGGAGAGGATATACTGCATTTTCAGCTTGAGTTCATATGTTGATTGCTCTCTTGGGTTGCAGAAAAACTGTGTGTGTAGTTGTGGGTGGGGGTATGTGTGTAAAAATAGCCCTGTACACACAGTTGCAGGTCTCATACTATACTTCATAAATCAAATATATTATCTGTACAATATAATATTTATAAATATGTTCTAATAATATAATTAATAATTTAAAAGTATTTATATATCCTTAATTAATATTTTAGATAAGTATTAATTCAGGTTCTATGGAGTACATACTACCCTTTATTAATAACTTTTAAATTTAGAGATTACTAAATATTCTCTAAAAATATTAACTCACCGGGAAATATTTAAGGGACAAATTTTAGGGTAGATCTCCTTGAATATAGTCATAAAGCTATTTTAGTAGTAAGAGCAAAATGCAACTTCTGCTTACCACCACAGCTGAGAAGTGAAGTCACTTTGTTTCATTTGCTTAATGCAAGATGAACATTTAATTTTTTTTTCTAAAACATCTAATTTTTATCTCGATATCCTTTCTATGGCCAACTGCTGCTTGCTAAACTGGTCTAATGCCTTACAAAACACCCTTCTTTCTTCTGGCAGACACATTTGTAACTGTCAGCCTGAAAGACCTTCCTAATCCATATCATTCAACTTGCCAACATTCAAATGTGAGATGTGGTATGTGAGAAAACTGAAAACCAGAGTGCCACAGAAATTATACACTCAGAAAATTTTAAAATCTTGGAGAATCATTCAATCATTGTAATAACTGTAAATAACTTTCAATAATAATGGATTTGTGCAGCTCTATTTCTGATATAAATAATTTTCAACAATAAAATTGAGGAAATGCCAAGTTCACATGAGGACTAAAACAAATGCAGTCCTTGCAGTGGGTGTCTCCTGGGAGAAATGTCTCTATCTACCAAGACTTTTCACAGTCCTTATCATCTACATATGCCTGGCCAGTAGTGACAATTTGCCTTCCCGAGGCAAGAAGGTATTTCAAAAGGGCCGTTGCAGAATATCAGATAGAACAGTTGGGTATGTAAGTGAGCTTTATGATGACTTTAATGGAGAATCGCCAGTAAAGAAATTCCTCACTAGGGCAAGTGATGATATGACTGATGATGTTTATTTTCATTTCAGCCTATTAGCTTCAGGTGGAGGAAATCGAAGGACTGCCAATGTGGTGGCTCATGGTTTTGCCAACCTTTTCATTCTGGACAAGAAAACACTCAATGAAATCTTGGTGCACTACCCTGACTCAGAAAAACTTCTCATGAAGAAAGCAAAGTATGTCCTAATAGTTTTTAAATCACATTTTTTTGCTGCATAATGGACAGTTGTGACATCTAGACAGATTTGCTTTCCTTTCTTAGAAGAGTGCAGATGTAAACACATTTGTATTTAGAGGTCAGATTTGCCTGGTTGTACTAGTGAAAGTCATGGTCTTGGAAGGGATTCCAAGGCTTGTAGAAACGTGGTAAGTAGAATGTAGTCTTGAATGTAGTTGCTTTCTCCTTTGTATTTAAGGTAACAAAACAAATAGGAGATAAAGATACATATCAGGACTCCTTACATAATCAAGAAAGAAACTGCAGGACAGATGTCAGTTAAGGAGTAGGTTTTCAAAGATCCAACAATTAATTCTACAGAGGTAGCTCTCTAATGCACCCACAGACTTGTATGCATTTCCAAAATATTAAGCAGTAGTTAGGAATATGTTTAAAGTAAGGCCAAAGATGGAAATACACAGACTAGAGGGGTGTGCATTTTTTTCGAAAGGATTCTGATATGGGATTTCAAACCGAACCTGCTTTTCATCTTGCTTTGGCTGTAGCTTGCTAGGATCACCATTTCCCCAGCTTTGAAAGGGCAAAATATTGACAGATTTTGTCATAAAATTGTGACTAAATTAGTATCTTGCTATCTTATAAAAGGTCAAAATATTTGAAACATTTTGTCATTATTAGTATACTTCAGCACTCATTGTTCTCAGCTGTTGCTTTGAATCGCTATGAAAGGTTGGAAGGTTGCTTCCAGACTTGAAATTCCACCAAAGACTAAACTTAGCACTATAGTGACATTTTGTTTAATGGAAGTGCTAGCAGATGGCTTCATTCAACATGTTACATCAGCCCTGGTTGTCAAATGACAGTATCTTGAGAATCATCACATCTCTGAGGAACAAGGAACCTAGACACAGAATGAGCTCATTGCCCAATATTCACAACCAGCATCAACAGGTAGAGAGGTGGAACAAGCCCACTCACTGATGGTCTCCAGCATTTATCCTACTTGATTTTTCTCCAGCTTCTTTCTAAATAGTTGTACAACCATCATTACTTGTTGTTTCTGTCTCTCTGTACCACGCTACCTTCTGCTTTCTTGCCGATCCTAATGATATCCTGCCAAGCCATTAAACTCTTCTTCCTCCAGATAGCCTTTCTCAACAGCAGAAGTTTGATCATCCTCATATCTGCACTCCCATTTGAGGTCAAAGCCCTCTCTAGATATCAGACTAGTTACAGGATACCCTGTTTAATCTTAAAGATATGCACTATCTGACCTGTGCTGAACACCATGTACTCTGCTCACCTGTCTGGGCATTCACTAATTCTTCCAAAACTCTTGTGCTCTATGTAGGAATTATGGGTCTCTATGAGAGCTATGTCTCTAGAAAAATTAGGCAACTAGGCACCAACAGAATTGTGCACTGTTTTGATAAAGACTGCAGTTATGTTTAGTTTTGGAATCAAGTTATCAGTTGCTCTGCCCTGGAAGGTCTACATTGGAGTTTTCTGTGGAATTGCACTGGCCATCCCACCCCTTTAAAGGGCTCCTTGAGATAAACTCAAAGGATTTATTCAAGCAAAAAATTTCTTCTATTATCACCTGCCTGATAGTCACTGTCTTCACATAATAAACACATGCAAGCTGAAGTGTGTTTTTTAAATTTATGACAATAATTTTTTTTAAAAAAGTAAAATCTTCACTTCTGAAATTCCCAAAGACAGTGGAGAGAATGATAGTATTATGGGATTTACTGTACTTCAGACTGCAAGTGTAGTCCTTGTTCATAAAAAGCCCTGTCAGTGCTTTTGCAAGAATAGAAAAGTTGCCTTGAAAACTGACAGTAATCTAATAGAAATGGAAAGCATGGGAACCCTCGGCTTTTCACTGGTTTCATCTACCTCGGAAGTGTCATTTAATCTTTATTCTCATTGTTCATTCTCACTTCTTGTCATTATGGCTGCAAATCAGTACAGCTACAGAAGGGTGTGAAAATCTAGTCTGCCACATGATTGGCAGTAATTTTTATATCTTCAGGGTGTCTTCTTCTACTGAGGAAGACCAAAAATAAGTACCACTGTCTAGCTTGAACTATGAGAGATGAGCTACACTGGAAGTTGGGCTGGTAATCTATTGCTTCCACAAACATCATCTAGACTCCTAATTGAGAACTAAATGCTCTCTGAATTTGCATCCAGAAGGCCAGGTAAGAAACTGCCACCCCAGGTACAAGGCATCTGTTCCCCTCCACGCTACTTTTCTCCTTATAAAAGTGTCATTTGCTTTGTGACACCTTGAATTTGAGCCTGCACTTATTCATTCTCCAGCATATAGGTAAGCAACATCAGATTTGAGCAGCAGCCTTCACTCTGCCAGACCCTAGGTTAAAACCCTTACCCTTTCCAGCTTTGCTCTTGCCACTAGACCTGGGACCAAAAAAACCTGTCTGGAGAAGTGGCCAGGTTTTCATCCATGAATGTGACATTTTAGCTTTGCAGCAACTTTGCTCAGTTTCACAGCACTGCTGTCTGTTCTCATTCCTTCCTGCCTCCAGGGTGCTGCTGAAGGAGAAAGGGAAACCTGCTCCAGGACCACCAGTGAAACAACCACAAGGCTTGGCCAGTGTCTTTGGGCAGAAACAGGAAACTCCAAAATTGTTTAAAGCATTGCTTGGAGGAAAAGGAAAAGGAGGCCTTGCTAAGCTGCTGCAGATGAAGAGACAAGACATTCAGGTAATGCCACAGAAAACAGAGTAGATTCCTCCAGGTGCTGAAAGATACTGGGAGGGCTTGGGCAAACAGAGCACACGAAAAAGTAGCTTTACTGTAATCGACAACAAAAACTCCCAGTAGTTGAGATACAATCACTGTACCTAATCTCTGTAAACATAATTCTAAAATTTGGCTGAAATCTTTCTGGAGCTGGACTCTATGCAGGGCAGGGAAAACAAAAGCAAAGAAAAAGCAAGGAAAAAAACAAGCAAACAAAAATCCTCAAAGTAAGGATAAAATAGACTTTACAAAGACCCTAAGGACATCTGATCTCTAATTTTGTGCAAATAACAGTAAATACAGAAATATCTGAACACAGTAATCTGATCCATCTGACTCAAGCACACAGTGAATTTTCCAATTCAAAGTCAGATCTCTGGTTGTCACACATTCTGAACACAAAACTTAAAAGTGTAGCCCACACAGCTAAAACTGATTAAATCTCTAATATATTGCCTTGTAAGAAAATTGTTATTTTAGTTGAAGAAAAATAATTTCCATATTATACTCTGTTCTGAGAAATGGTAGTGTTAATAAGAACCTGCGCAGTTCTACATACTTACCCAAAGGTGGCAGAATCCTCTTCTGTCTTTATAGCTGAACTATCTGTGCTTTGCTTTATTTATTTAAAGTTAAATAAAGAACTTTGCTTACACAAATGACTACAATGCTATGATTGGAGCAGAAACATTGCTCAATTTAATGTGTATTGGTGAACTTAATAGCAAATAGGCTTGGCCAAACAATTGAAGCACTGGGCAATATGTCAACATTTACATAATACTTTTTCTTTCTGTACTAGTACAGAAAGGAAGACAAGACCTAAGGAAGGGCTGTGTGCCCCAAAATGTGCCAGTTTTACCTGCTGTATTAATAAGCAGATACTATTACTATCTACAAGCTTCTTCGAGGTTTTATGTTGACATTCTGATTCTGAAATTGCATTTTTCATTTAGAAACTGATTTTCAGCATCTAAATATTAATTTATATATCTTGCATACCATTAATCATAGTATCCATGCTGTGCTTTTCCACTGCATATACAGAACTACTTCCTGAATTTCTTCTGCAGCATTGGAAAACATTTAACTTCTTGTTTTTAGGAAACTCAGGCTGAAGCAAAGAAGCCTGAACAAGAGGAGAAGAAACCCATGGAGCCCACAGCCTCATCTGCACCCCCTGTACAAAAGGAAGAGCCGAATGCAGATGCTAAACCTAAACCTCCAGTTATGCACAGAGGAACCACTAACGAGTCTCTGATCATTAGCATGTCTCCATCCCCCAGAGCAGGAGAAGGAGAGATCCTTAAAGTTGAAGTTAAAGAGAAAAAAAAATAAATACATGGTGCTTTGTGCTGTGGCCCCATCTATTGTCTTGCTGAATTCAGAGAGCTACAGTAACTTTGCTTTTGGATACAGAAGATAAAAGTAGAACCTACTCGAGAAAAATCTGCCCCAGCTCCTCTTTTTTCTCCCTCCTCTCATAACACAACTGGACAAATTATTTGTATACTTACCTCTTAACCTTGAGCCTGAAGAGAGAACTTCAGGCGTAATAGAAATTAGAGCTCAAATTGTATTTCAGGACCACTTGTTTCTTGTTTGATCCATGCTCTCCCTTATCTCTTATTCTGTCTTGCTCCTGCTTTTCCTCTTCCCTCTCCTGTTCATCCTCGCTTTCTTATTGCTGTTCCTGCTGCTCAGTTTGCTCTTAACTTTTGTATGTGTTCTTTTTTATTTTCTTCTCTGGTTTCCCATAGTTATCCTTTTTCTTGTTACTGCCCTACTGTTGCTGAGGTTACTTATGTTTCTCTTGATTCTTCTCTCTCCTCCCCTTATACATCTAATCAGTGACCTGCTTTTGTAACCAGCATGACTCAGCGCAGAAAGCTGTGACACTGTATGTTGGGATGTTTTCAATGGGACAGAGAGCTACAAAACAAAACTACTGTCAAAAATTAAAATCACAAAATCTACAAGGGGGAAGCAGATTGCAGAATTATTGCCAGTCTTCTGAAAGCATGAGCATCTGCTCCAGCTGTCTTTGGTGAGTAAATATGTCAAAGACTTAAGATATTTCCCCTCCACACCCCAGGGGAGGGTAACTTTAACTTTGGGCTGTCAATTCATACGTTTGATCTTCCCAAGGGGTTGAGCATTAATAATGCCCACTGAAGAGCAAGCAGTTGACAGTGGCTAACTTTTTGAAGAATCTTGGTATCTAACTGGCCACTTTAAAAATAAAGGCTATTTTATAAAAAGCAGGATTTACATTTTCTGGCTCTGTGGTGCATAGTTTCAACCGATGCTGCAGTTGCTCACCTCCATCACACACGGTGATTGATGGTGCAAAGTGAGCCCTGTGCCTTACTAGGGCTGAGCTACATCATACCTGTGAACTAAAGAAAATCCTGAAAGGGATACAGCTTCCTAAGGAGCTCCCACAGTGTCAACCGTCTGCATCAAATCATCACAGAAAGAGATGCAACATTAAACAAAAGGCTGAAGCTGTGTTTTAAGCTAAATTCTTGATTACTTTTTCTCTTCCATGGGTTTGCATCTCCTCTCTCCCCATCCACTTTCAGTCCACACTGAAACTGGATGAACAGTTTTGGGAATTAAAAACATTATGCAGAGGCCAAGCCAAGAAAGTGTAAGGGCAGGCTTCACTGCTCCTCCGCTGACCCGCCAACCAAGGAAGGCATTGTGCCAAAATTAGCCTGCAAAGTGCATATTTATATATGATCCTGAGGGCTATGCATTCTGTAAGCCTGTTCTTTAAAGCCTCTGAACTTGTCTAATCACAGGCAAAGCTGGCAGCTCAACCAAAATCAATGGAAGCTTTGCCCGAGTAAGAGCTGGATAATTAAATTCCTCATGTTGTATATTCCACACACCCTCTCATATGACCAAACCCCAAACCTCTTTCAAAAAGAAAGTTCTCCCACACTAGCAGTAAGGTCAAGGTTCAACTGCTACAGGGGAAGAACCATCACTATTTGTATATGTCCTCGTTTCGACGAGGATGGAGTTAATTTTCATTGGAGTATTTCATACCATGTGATGTCATGCCCAGGTGGGAGGTTGCTCAACCCATGAATTCCTTCTTTTGTCCCTCCCCTATCTTACCAGATGGGGAGAGGGAGGTAAACTGTCGGTGGCATCTGGCTGCCAGCTGAGTTGAAACCTCTACAGTATGTTACTTGTTATTTGACATGGAAAAGGATGTCACAACAGAGGTAGAAAATGGTAAGATGCATCATAATGAATTATTCATCTATTGCACATCCAGGAACATCTCAATACAATCTCAAAACTAGAAATATTTCAGAACTGCTTCACAAATGAGGCCTTCTGTGAATAATAATGATCTATGAATTAATTAAAATATATAGTATTCACTTTTTTTTTTTTTTTGAAAGAGAGTTGTCAAAACATTACAGAAAGGGAAAAAAACAAACATATTTCCCAGTATTTTAACACTTTTTATCAATGAGTAAAGCTCACTCTCATTGTAAAAGATCCAATCCCCTTCTGCCTACATAAATGCTACCAGGTAACCAAACATTTTCACTGCTGGCATATTTAAGGTCATCAGTCACACACATATTATTACAAAGTAAGGGCTGAGACTGCAGCAGCAAGCGTTACACCACAGCAACTGAGCATCCTACGAGTTGCTGCTTTGCTACAACTTGTAACAGCCCAAGAACTGCAGGAGAGTCTGTCAGTTCTGTCAGCACAGTTACAAAGTTAGACACAGCTCTTGAGTTCCTTAGACCAAAGAGAAGTGTCAGTGTTTGCAGAAGATCATGGCCACACAGAAGTAACATCCATGTGTTTTTCTGACATCCTACTTCTGTTATTGGAGTATTTTCCCCTTTCCAGAATTCCACCATTTTTAGGGGTGGACAAAGGCAGGAAGGGTCCAGAAATCCAAGCTGCAACCATTTACAGGGTTTTCAGCAGAGGGAATGACGCAAGAAAGGTCAAGATGTATTAAATCCTTTCAGGAACTAATTCTACTGTGTAGATTCTTGACTGGTGGAGAAGTAGAGCGAGTTACTCTAGAGCACATAAAAGACACAACTGCCAGTATCAAAGCTCACTCAGGTTCTGTACAGCATCGCGCTCCACTACAACACTCTCTACTATCTCCTTTTTTCTCAGGCTTGACTACACTTGAATGAAAGAAACTGAAGGAAAATATATTTGAAAACTAAAAATAACCAAATCTCTCACTGAAATGTAGACACTGTTCTGAAAATGTTTTGGAAAACCTGATAATAGTTGTATGAAATAGCATGCATGAGAGAACTCTAATGTGGCAAAGAGCATGAAACAGTCACTGCTAAAACTGCCCAATTTCAGAATATTTTCTTGCTAAAAGACAGTATGAGATGCTTTATGAAATATACACTGCACATTCATAACCACTGAGTGGAAAAGGCATTTTTCCTCTCATCTGATAATACTTGTTATAAATTTGAGCTGCTCAGCATGTGGAGTAATCACAGGAACTGCAACAGCAGCATTTATCATTAGATAGAAAGTGCTGAATACAAAAGCACAATGGAAGAACAGTATACTGAAATAATATTTTTAATGCATAGGCACCGTAAATCAGTTAACTTCATCAGAACTGAAATACATAGGAAAGTAAAAAAATTCTGGTTATAGGTTATTTCTCTGCTGTACATGTGTATATATTAAGATCATCATATGGCAAAAGCATCTGATTACAAAGACTGCTATACATCACTTTTATCACAAGGTGGTGCAAGTGCCCTACAAACACATTCACTTTACAAAACTTTGACAATATTTTACTTTGTCACCCTTAAGCTAATAAGGCATTTTTTACATGTAACAATAAACAAACAAAAAATGGCAAAACACCACAGTAACCCTCCCCCTTGACTCACAATCTTCTGCATTCCTTGACTCAGAACATTGCTTCAGCCTAAATTCACCAGGCATTAGCTGTACACCTCTAAGAGAATTTACACCTGGAAAACGGTTCTCGCCCGTTACATCTGAAATATTTTTCTTTTACACAGAATAGGACACACTGAGAAACAGGTGTCATTAATATGCTAGGTAATTCCCTACGCTTGAGGAATGTGGGGGCACTTTTCCAGTAAGAGATAATGAATTCTCTGCTGTAGAAACTCAGAATTTATGTATAGAATATAGACAAAGCAAAAGGTTTTATTTTATATGCATCAGGTATTTAGCATAATAATACCTACTAACATGTTTAAATGCATTTAAATGCACTTTCACGGCAACTTAGAATTGGTAACAGGACAGAGATGCAGCATTATATTTTTGGCAGACAGCTCAGAGGAACTTCAGTAGTATACTGTACTCCTATCAGTAGTACTCGTCCACTGCAACGAATCCAGACACAGCATTAATACTTCATCCAGTTATTTCTGTACATGGAGCATGTAGCTGTGCAACAGTTTACTGTTCCAAAATCATACAATATCAATTTGCAGCAGTGTGATTTAAATTCACTATCACTACTTCCTTAATATTTCGTGTTGCATATTTGGCATGACACTTCATTATAGTTTATGTATAAAGTAGTAACACATTTGCACTACTCATAAAAAGATGTCTACAGATTTTTATATAAACACATGGATTAGATATAAAAAAAAAAAAAAGACAGAGCTTGGCTTAATACAAAACAAAATCTCTTCCTTAGTATTCCACTACTGAAACTATTTAGGACACCCTTTCACCAAGGAAAATAGAGTGGAGAATTACATATTAATTCATGATAGATAACTCATCAACTGACTAAAATAAATTTGGTAGGTTTTACAGGATGCATAAGACAATCTTAACACATGTATAATTCATCCATCAATGTTAATGTGAATTCAGATTTTTGACAGCATTATACACCTATGAAAAAAAAAGAACCAAATAAAACACACCACACAGCAGCTCCAGCAACTAAAAAAAAAAAAAAGACACATACAAATTCATATACAGTATGACCTGGAGCACTCTTCAGTGCCCAAGTATACTAATTTTGGTGTTAGTCCATTCTGGTTGTACGCGTTACAGCTAGACCATCCAAAATCAGATCACTCAGATGTCTAACTCTAAACCACTTCAGATGTGAAACTGCAAGATTAATGTTCAAGATGGGCATTTTGGAAAGGATAAGTGAGACCTTTACATCTACTTATGTTACACGCACTGACAGATCAGAAAGGATCCTCAGCATGCAGCTGGGAGACAAGAAAGCAACATCTGTCCCCTAAGCAACTTGATGTAAATGGTGAAAACTCAAGCCAAGAAAATAAACCAGAAATTGCTTGTCCTAGAGAAACACAGTAGGAATATAGGATTAGAGCTTGGACACTTTTTTATGTCTTCATACTGGAAGAGGGAAGATTGGGTTCTCTGTGGGCATTTTTCATTAGTGGGCCTATGAAAAAGAAACATTAATCAAATTAAGACAAAACCAATACAGCACTTTCAAGAGCTTCCTTGCCTTGAAAATATGCAATTATAAATCAGACAAAACTTCTTAACCAAAAGGCTTCACAAGAAGCCCTTTAAAAATCAGTCATGATTGTTTTATGGAAAAAACAACCAACCAACCAACACAAAACTCCAACACACACCAGATCTGGAGTTCCTGGTTTTCAGCACAGCACACACTAAAGCACATGTTACAGCCTTTACAGTAGTAGCCTCAAAGGCCCAGAGTATTCTGACACATTAGAGGTTTACCTTGACTCATCCTAGCTACTCCTCTACTACCTTAAGAGAATGCATACTATAAAAGAATATACACTTTAATGACTCGTTTGGCTCATGTTCACACAGCCCTGAATCCCAGGCATTGGCCAAAGGCACTAAAGTGAAGCACGTGAAGTAGGCATGCAAGGACAGCCTTTACGCAATCTTCTGGCACTCAGCTCATTATGAAACTCCTGTGACAAAATTTTGTTATGTTGGCTTAATAGACACAGAAGCCTGAAGTATTCCAGATTCACTGAAGCACATACAAACTTTTATCTGCTTGGTGGGGATGTACTCTCTTTTTCATAATTTCATTTCAGACTGGTTTTACAGTCATTGAGAAACTGCAGTCCTTGATGACAATCCCCACAAAAGTAACTCCCACTGGTCCCATTTATCACAGGCAACTGTTCTACTTCCAGCCATTCTCCTCCTTCTCTATGCATATTCAATTTTGGTTTTTGCACTCTCAGAGTACAATGCACCCATGTAAGCCCTCTCAAACTAACATAAAATATTAACACAGTTTTGGCCCTTAAAAGGCACTCTTGGCAAAGTGATTGGCAGGCAAAAGCTAACAGACATTACCATACAAAGGTATGTGCATACATGTATACAGAAGTATTTCAAGAACCAAAGTCTGTAGATACAGCAAGTAAGGCAAGCACAAAGTCTCAGCTCCCCTGCTCAGCCCATTCACTTTGCAGCAGGATTCTTTGGAGGCTGCAGTTTGTAGGTGCTGAAGTAGTTCACCACTTGCTGAGGGACTTCTGCCAGGACACACTGCGCCAGAGCTTCCTTTGGAGACTTAGAAAAAAAGAACAAACAAGTTTCAGTTTCCACCAACTGTTAACAGAGATCCTAAGATGGGTAATAAGCACCTCCTCTACTAGGCAAATTTTAAGTCTGACATTTTAGAGAGAACTTTACACAACACCCTTGTGGGACAGATGGAAGCTTCCCTGACATCTTTACCTTCTGATTCCCATTAACAGGAACCATCTGGTTGCCTTGTTTCACTGAAGTAATAGGAGCTGGGTCAGCAAAGGACTGCCATGTCTGAGATACCTTTTGTCATATGAAATACACACAAACAGTGCAGACGTTGAACTTCAGCTATGTAAACACACTTCCACTCTTCACTTAAGATGACCCTTCAGGGTCTTGTCTAATCATCTGTAACCTTTTGCACTGTGTCCTCCATGGCAACTGTACTGCTACAGAGCAGGTAACTGCAAGATTAAGCATCCACGGGAAAAAAAGCACCCCTACTTCTAGAAACTAAAAGCATGTGAATATATACTTTTATACTGAATATTGACCCTAGTTAATCTACACCCAAGTGCATTATTCAATAAGCATATTCTACATTGAGTTTGATCTCTTTCTCCTTTCAGTTTGCCCAAGTTGCACTGAGATTAAATAAAGAACTTTTATCAAAGGTAAAAATAAAAATACAAAAAAGAAGGCATAAGGAGTATTATTAACGGGGTTAATATTAAGAAACAAAACAAAATGAGAACATATTAGGATGTAAATTAGGATCTTATCTTCACCATCTTGAGGAACTTTTGGTTGTTTTTTTTAAAAATCAACTTTTTCCAGTGATACATTTGAAAGTTGGACTATATTAGCCTGTGCATATTTTATTGGGTTGTACACCAGAAAAAAAAGAATCAAGAGTCCATTCTTTCACCACCTATTTTTCTTTTTTTTTGGGGTATATTTGCTTTAGCAAAAATGAAAACTATCACCACTATTGTGCTCACACACAATTTCTACTGATTATGACCTCCGTGATTGAGCATTGAATTTTAACACTGCACTAAAATGTAAGACCAATCCACATTTACAAATGGGAATCTGCAATAAAAATAATTTTGCCATAAGAACAAAACCATAGTAAGTTCTTCCTCCCAAATGAAAAACACATCCACCTGGTTAATCAAATCTGGGGTAGATTTACAAAGGTCATTCGCCTCCAGCAACTGGTCAGAAATGCAATGAAGCCAGAAATGGAGTCTTTTAAAACATGAATAAGCTCACCTAATGGAAATTCTATGGATGCTGAAGTCTTCTGTCCTTTTTTTAGCACTTAATAAAGTCTCTGAACAGACTTCAGAGTTCATCTTAGAAACACTGAAAAAGCTTAGGACTATATGTAGGATATCTGAGCAAACCTAGCATACCTCTACAAATATTTATTAAGCATATATTAAGATTCCTTACATTTTGGAACTTCCTGAATGGCACAAACTGGACAATGTCTCTAACAGCCGGTTCTCCTGATGAGGACCTAAGAACTCCATTGTCACCATCAAGAAACTCCATGGCATCGAAGTCTGCTCCTCCAACACCAACAATGATAATGGACATGGGCAGTTTCGAAGCATTAACTATGGCAGTCCGAGTTTGATCAAGGTCTGTTATCACACCATCCGTTATGATCAGAAGTATAAAGTATTGCTGTCAAATCAATAAACACTGTGTCATGACAAAGCAATAGAAAACATGTAGGCATGTACACTTAGAAAAATGGACATACAGGACTATATACTGTTGTCACTTTGAGCACGTTCAATGAACTCACCGAGTTTTACAATCAAACATCTACATTGCGGTCAGGCTTCATCTATACAGTCCGAAGAAATTTATAAGGACAACATAATCCATCTTTTAAAAGAAGCCATCTTTAAACAGCCACCTCACCAAACCCCAGTGATATCACCCTTCTCCTTCTCTCTAAAATCCCCAGACAAACCAACAGTTAACCTATCTGTCCTGGGATAGAAGGCAGTTTATTGAAGTTTTGGACAGATAACACCTGTGAAACTTGTATTTGTTTCCTTTCTGGTCTATCAATACCTTTATGAAGTGCTACCCTTTGCTTCACTCATTACATCCTTCAAATCCTAACTATAGATTAAAACATATCCTTTTGTGCTGAAAAACAGCATGTCCATTTTCAAATTCCATTAATCATGTTTTCTAGCTAATTTATGAAGTTAATTACCAAGGCATCTGAGATTACCTTGCTGTACTTTGGTAATTTATTCAAGTACCACTTGAATTGCTTCCACTATACTGCCAGGCCTTCTAAAAGTTGGCATCTTAGCTTCTGTTCTGGATTAAAGTACCAAGAACAAGCTAGAAGTACAAAGTTCAGAAACTATCCAACACTTCTTTGAACTTCTGGTCTTCTCTCACTTGGTTCATTTCAGACAATTACTGGGCAGCACAAATTGAAGTTCCAAAGGTACTCCTAGTATTCTTACAAGTCTTCCTCTTCAGTACTTTGCTTCCTATCTTTCCTTATTTGCCTCCAAAATAATTGGATTTCCCTTATGTCCTGTGTTCAAGTACCACCTTTTCTCATTGTTCCCCACCACTCCACTCCCCCACTGCAGAAAGAATGTCTACAAAGCAACCATGATCGGAGAAGGCTATGACCAGCAGCATGACAGCATATGACACTGGATTAATTTCTCTCTTCTTATACATCCCTCCATACTGGAAGAAAATTAATAAAAACAAAAGCCAACCAAAATATCTACAGTATGCATTAAATGGCAAGGCAGCAAAATTTCTTTAAAGCATTCTTTCAGGCAGAAAAAATAAATCTCTTGCTAGGCATACTGCACTCAGGAAAAAAAAAAAAACTGTACAAGAAGTTTTGCTGCTTTCCTAATATATATATTGATGACAGTTAGACTACCAAGGCAAAACCTTATAAACCTCTTGGCATATGAAAATCCTTAGCTCTTTTCCAAATATGTTATTTTTCCAAATTGGAAAAATAGTATTTATAAACAAGAAGGGAAAAAATAATATTTATAAACTAGAAGGGAAAAAAATAATATTTGTAAACTAGAACGGAAAGAAAAAAGTAAGAAAAATACACGCACTAGCATGAAGAACTTACAGATGCTGTTTGCTGTTGTGTAGCTGCTGCAGCAAATCTTGCCACATGGTTTATAATTGGAGAAAAATTTGTTGGTCCATATAATTTCACTTGAGGAAGACAAGCCCGATATGCATCAACAATGCCTTGGATTCCTAGAGAACACAAATACATCCTCTTATTTCTTTCATATTATAATTAGGATATTTTGAAGCACTCAGTGTTCCTAAACCACTGTATATGTCAGTTATTTAAAGGGAATGATTTACAAGCAATGGAGGCCTTCAGTTTGGCCAATGCTTAACACACATACTTAACATGCTTGGCTTTATGTGAATAGAAAGGCCAAATACTGGATGCTCAAGTGCGTGTAACTAAATTACAGCAGTTCTCTCCACCTGGCAGCTTGTGGTAGCTAGCCGTGTGATCAGAGATGTCATATTCAACAGGTAACAGCAGCATCATACTCAAACCAGACAACCACACTAACATGAAGTAGAATGAAGTGGCTTGACAACATGAGAGAACCATTCCCAGCTCACCTATGCTGTGCCCTAGCTGCTCAAGACACTTCTTTCACAAAACAATACAGAAGAGAGCCCAAATGCTATTTCTAGTAACTAAGAGAATTGTTATAAAATTGTTTCCTGCTACACAACTATCAGAACAACATGTTACACAATTCACTTTGCAAGTGTTTTTATCCCTTCATCTTAGACATTTTATTCTCTAGGTCTGATGCTACTTTCTCAGACTTACCATTACAGAATGGGTTTGATGGGTTAAAATTTAATGGAAACTCATGTGACACCTATCAATACACAAAAGACATAGTTAGGACTATACATATAATCTCCTCCTGAAGTGTTTTTAGTTGTCTTATATAGTGCATTTACATATTCAATTACCTGAAATGAAGGAGGAATTTGTGCACCAAATCCAAAGGCTGGAAACATCTTATCTCTAAAAAACCAATTTTTAAGAAAATGAAGTGAGTGCCTTCCTTTAAAAGCTGTCATAGTTCAATAACTTTAGCTAATCAGTGCTGCTTTTGACCATTAAAAGTGCTGTTTATTAAGCATTAAGATGCAAAATTTAATGGAAGTTCCCCCTTGTACTTAGAAATAAGACCAAACCAGTCTTTAGCACCAAATTGGGAAGAATGTAAGCCTTTATTTAAATTAATGATGCTTTTTACATCACAGATGAAAAGCCTTGCTTGTCTACAGTAAACACAAGCTTTTGTTTGTGATTATGTCATGTGCAGTGATTATGATGTTGGTTTTGGCTCTACATTTCAGCTCACAAGTTTCATTCCGATATATCTACTGCCATCTTCAACACTGGTTGAAGAAACTACCACAAAAATCTATATATCTAAAAAATGATTTAAACAAAAATCTAAAAAACTTACGTATCATAATCCTGAATGACCATTCCTACAGACCAAATGGCTGTTAGGTATTCATTAACCCCGTTAGGGCTGAGATAATGCAGAGAGTCTGGAGAGCGAGGGTCTCCATTGGAGCCTGTAAAATCTATCCCCACCTGTCAAAATGCAGTATTTGGATCAAATTGCTGTTAGAGATAAAATTGTGTTTCTTATCTCTGGCAAAGCCAAAGTGAAAATCATGGAAGAGTTATAAAGAGTAGTTACCAAAACATCTACAAATCTAACAGACACAATACTTCGATGTAGGTTTCTTGGAATATTAACACTCTTAAAATAATGCCACTACAAAATCAGCACCAGCTCTGCATCTCTCAGAAGGGCTGAAATGACATTCATCTATCAGGTTTTCACCATGTTTGTTTTCAGTTACCACTCACAGCAGCTCTTAAATAGCTGTTAAATTGATTTTATCCTCTATCTTGCCATCTTTTCTCTCAGAAGTACCACTAGTCAGACACTACAGAAGCCTAGAGATAATTCTCTGTCTGACCTCAATGGGTCTTCTCTGCCTTGGTGATGAGGCATATTACCAGGGTGAAGACATCTTACTGTTATTTGTGCTGCATTTCATTTCCGAATTACATTATTTAAGGGTCATAACCCATATGATGGCTTCTGTATGTTGCTTTCATTAAAGTAAAAGGCTTTGAAAACCACCATCAAGGTCAAAAGTGAAATCTTAAAGGAAATTAAGTAAATCACAGAAATGTCAATTTCTCATTGTCTCTATCCACACAGCTCAGCTAGTTCCTAACCAACGTAACTACAGGTTGAGAACTTCGTGCCGCGAATAAAGGAAATAATTTTTTCTAAACAGACTAGATGGACTCTGGCAAAATGGCTTCCCCCCTCCATGCTACAGAACAACTATAAAAATTTTTAAAAAATAAACAAACAGTAATCTAAGGAAGAGCACAGGCAATTATATACTTCAGTTTGTTCCAAAACTCTGAAGCTACTTTATATAAATGATTTAACTTACTGTGAAATTCAGCTGACACCCCCCCATGATGTAATCCAGGAATGTGCATTCTACTATTATCTAAAAAATGAAAGTTAAAGACAGGAATTAACCTTTTTTTTTTAATGGGAGAAAACCAGTAAGTATTGTTGCAGAAACTTCTGAGGTTCCAGTTTTGTTTTCTTTATCCATGCAAAGCCGTACTTTTACTCTACAGATATCCCACCCACCCACTGCACTGAGGCTGTTTACACTGTGCCATCACACACTCAGTACATCAGAATCAGGCCTTTTATAAAATTACAGGCAGAGAACGTAGCTCCAAAAGCATTATCATTTATAAAACAACATTATCATGACAGACTTACCAGATTTTAATTTACATTAAAACAGTGAGTTGGGAAACACAGTGGTTCAGGAATGGCCTTACAAATTAGTAAGCCACCTTTGCCATACAGATGGCATCTTCAAGAGAATGGGAGGGGACAGACACACGATTCAGCTGTTAATCTGACTCCTTATATGAATCACAGCCCTTAAATATTTATGGTGTCTGGAACTTTCAGGCATTTTAAAGTTTCTTACAGTTTGAGGGTGTAGGCATACTAGAGTTGTTATGCCTTGAACACTTAAAACCAAAGAGTCATACCAGAATATATTACTGACCTCACAGTGCTTAACGCTCACAATGCCAGAGTTCTTATAGGTTTTCTTCTTCTGTCTTTTCTTTTCATTGATGCACTCAAATTCAACCTGCGTGAACACAAACAAATCCAACAAAAGCACTATAAATATAATTTTTGCAAGAAATTTTAGAATTCTTTATTCTAGGATTGATAGTTTGGACTTGTATTAAAACGCAGTTTATTTCACTATCAAGCAAAGTTAAACCCAGCCTGCCCAAAATCAGCAAGAAAAATCCCATTATCAAGATAAAAATTTTCTCTAACCCAAAAGCTTACAAATGCTTGTTTAGACAACTGCATTTCAACTATACAAAGAAATTCTGTACCATTTTCCCTATGAGGAAACTTCCTTTTTGGTAAAGACGTGGTGATTCAGGCAAAGCATCACTGTTAGCAGCAGCTGTGGTAGTAATGTACAAAATAAAAGGTATATGTTTCAAAATATCCATTGTTGAGGCTTCATTAATTAAACTGATACCTTAACCTCCAAGTGCAATCAACAGATAGCCAGGTTAAGCAGCTCCTGCCATTGCACAGGTATGATGGTACAATGCAACATGTCTGGTGCATAAATAGTCTGAGGAGCTATTCCAGACATGTCTTCTGGATCAGTGCCAGAAACTGGTTCCACTGCTTTGGTTTAAATTCGTTAAGTTCTAAAAAGTGATCTTGAAATTAATCTCAAGTGAAAAAATGGACTAATAATATCAGCACCCGAGTAGTCTACATGCCTCTGGTTTACCTTCTTTTTTTGGACATTTCCCCATTAGTATAATTTCTATTTGATGGAAATTGTCTTTCAGTGACTTGGTTTTGTGCCGTTATGTCAACTGGTGATGTACCCACTACTAACAGCCACAAGATACATAGAATTTACAATCTTTCAACTACATTTTATAATCCTCCAATCAGAGCTTACTCACAGCACGCTTGGGGGAAGATACACCCCTTTGGAGAATGGGGAAAAAAGAAAAATCAGCAATTCTCCAGAGAATGTAAAAGCCACATGTTCCCTTCAGTCATACAAGATCATCTTCTTCAGCAGCTGAGGATACAGAGTCACACCCATGCCTGCCTCAAGTAAACTTGAAAGAAGTTCTGCCAGATCTCCCACAGGTGCAGCTGATGTCTGAATTGTGGTAGTAACTGAAGATCACACTTGGAGTATATAAAGTCAAATTCTAACGCACAAATTAGATATATTTTACAGACATTATCATATTAATCAGATCATGCAGGGTTAGAGATTAGTTCCTTTTAAAAGTAGAAAACACCTGAAGCAGATTATTTGTGTTGTCTCTTTACTTCATTTTACTGGCAGAGCAGTAAATTACTTAGATTAGGTACAGCCACAATTCTCATGAAAACAACTTTCTTAAAGCATTTCCAAAACCAGCACAGGTAGATAATTTAAAATACTTTTTATTTAAATTCAAAAGAGACCACACCTATTATGCTACTAGGGGTGCAATGAAAATAGGTATTCATATTCTCAAGGAGCCTTTACACATAGTTCTTACAAAAATATGGGTTTGAAAATGCAAACATACAAGCCTGCTACATTTAATTTATGATATTGCTCTATAACAAAAGCACATTTTTTAAAAAACAAAAAGGAAAATGTCCTGTTAAAATATTTGTAAAATCTTCATTTTAAAAAGGAGAGAAAATGGTTTTATGAAACCAACCTGCTCCCCAATTTATTTTTTGTAAACTTTAATTATAGAATAATAGGAAAGATTGCTGTCAGCACTGAAAGCTAAACTGATACCACCTGTCCACTGAAAGATCTAGAAAAAAATAAAAAAAAAAAGAACACCACCTAAGAGCTCCAACTAGGCAGCATATGAATTACATGCACAGGATATGAGTCCAAAATTCCTTACAAACAATATAAAACCTTAAGAAGCATTAAACTGAACCATGCTTAATTCAAAATGAGTTCAGAAATGGGTTTCTGAAAGGAAAGCACAGCAGGGCACAAAGCAGCAATCAAAAAACCACTACAGTCAGGGTGGACTCTTCACATCCAACAGATCTGAAGAGTTTAGTATGAATGCAACACTAGAAAAGTTAGAAAAGTACAAGCAAGCATTCTTATATATACATCTTACTATTAATGCAGAAGTAGTTCTGCAGGTTTTACAGAATTTAAGGAAAAGATGGTAAAAATATTTTGATTACATACATAAAACACAGACTTTTATGTTAAGGTTGCTATGCCACCTTTTTTCTTATAAACGTAAAACTCATGTATTAAAAGGTTTGCAGGTTCATACAGTTCATAAGAACAGGAAGAGTAATTTGACTTTAAAGAAGATCCATCTAACATAACACATTCAGTGGCATTTTTGTGCAGTGGCATGAGCTGAATTACTAAAGTATCCATGATAGTTGGTAAGGCCCATACTCAAAATAAAGGACTGAGTAAAACCTCAAAAATACTACAAGCTTTGGCCTTTTAACTGCAGTGAAATTTGTGCTGCATTCTGTCTTCTGATACTCTAAATGTTTTGATTTCTATATTTTTATGATTAATTAAATTAATTTGTGCTGATGGTTGGGTATTTAAGATACATAATATTAAAAACTGTAACCAAAATATTAATCCTAGGAAAGTGGATGCATAATGTAAATGCTAAGTCAACCACAGCTACAGTAGCATTGTTAAGGTGTAGCCTAACACAATTTTGATACCTGCAAGTCAAGTGACATAAATGAGTAAAACAACTTATCAAAAAAATATGGACAGCTTAGACCATGTAAAACTTACAGGTGAGGACCGAGATGCTTCCTTCAGTTTTGACATTGTAGTTTGAAAACTTCCTATGAGATCATGAGACCCATCACTATCATAGTCATAACACTCAACCTAAAATTAAGCATTATTCACTGTTAGTAACAGAAATGGCACTACATAAGCAACAAACACTGCAATGGCATTTCTAGTTCAGGCAAACCTGAACATCCAAAACATTCCTAAATCTCTTACATCATGGAGTTTTTCTCGTTTTAGCCTCTTGTCTGCAGTCTTAGAATGGCATAGAGTTGTATCTAAAAATTATATATTAAGATTGGGTAAAAGCCAATATACCCAGTTTCAGATCAGATCTTCCACTGAAGTGAAGGAGAGATAAGAATACTAAGCAGTGTCAGGTCTTGCACAAGCAAGTAACCTCAATTATATCAAAGTACATTTTGGGAGTGAGGGGGTGTCAGGATGAGTAGGAAAACAATGTAGGTTTTTTTACTGTCATCGTGGATTAAGAGAAATTTCCTTAATACCTCTGAAAAACTATCTCTAACCATCCAGCCAAAAGTTTAGTAAATCAGTTATTCAGTGTTCATGAGATTTTTATTAATACTTTTATATTACTTTATTAATCTTCAAGATAACTCAGAATTTATAAGTATGTGAAAGTTCAGCCCCAAATCTACAAGCAAGACTTGGTTTTTATTATCAAATTTAAGCAGTCATTATGATCCACACTTCATGGATCTGAATAACATCTAAAAATCCCTCTTTTTCTGTATTCAGTGTTTAATGGTAAGTTTTACTATTTAATCAACTCATCTTTTAACACCCCAAACCAACAAAGAAGGCAGAACAAGTAAAAATACTTTTTTCTTCTTTGAAAACCTATCCATTTGAGATAGCATAATCTTACCACTGTTACTTTAATGTCCTCAATTTTTGTTTTTTAAAAGCTCAACTTATGAATGTGACCCAACTGCTTTTACAGATAAAAAGCTGTATATTTATCTATAATAGCATGTTGATTCCATTCACTTCTGATATTTCAGTTTAGCACACAGACATGCTAGCTAACTTAAATTAATCAAATCACAGAAAAAATGAGAAAAATACTTAATAATGATAAATAATAACAGTAATAAATCAAGAGTCAAACTAGGAATCCCCCATTGTTTGGAATCAAGACACAAACTTCAAGAAAAACTTTTCTGAATATATATAGCTTAAACTGAACATCTATTTTCATGTCTGTCTTTCCAGACTGAAAAAATAATACATTATATTCAAGAAACAATTTAGTTGATTACTTGGCCAGTTCACTTAAGAATAACAAAGTAAACCAAACAACTTCAACATAGGCTTGAGCTTCTGAGAGAGGAATTAACTTTCTGAAAACAAACAGTAATGTTGAAGTACAAAATATGGTGCATAGATTGCAGGTTCCACACTATGCAGAACATGCCTCTGTTGCAGTTTGCACTACCTTTTCAATGCACTCATAAATAAATGCATGCACATGCACTGATAGCAACTTAAACCTCATACAAGCAGCCACAGAAACAACAGACTAATGTTCATGGCAGATGCTATGTAAATTCTTTTGAATGCCATAAGTTAAGCCAATCAAATACTCAGCCAAGTGCTTCAGTACCTGAAATTTAAAACTGAAGACATTTCCTGAGCCAGTAGTTATGAAACATGTTCACAGTTAGCACAGTTACTTCTTTTTCCTTTTAGAGGGATCAAAATTTGTCTTGCTTGATATATTTGACCCATTTAAGACAATTTTCAATACTTACTCCAGGTAAAACAGAAACAGTTCTTTTGTTCCATGTATGCCCCTCCTGGACATGCAATAGCGCTAAGGAACCATGTGATAAAATTACATGTATATTTTCCCTAACAGAACGAGGCATGCTTGCTCCAGATGAAAGGCTCACATTTTCAACAGAGAAAAAACACTGACTGCAAACAAACTCACATGGAATACAGCAGTAAATCCAGAAGATAATCAACTTGGTTTGTGCATTGCTGGGGATACACAAACTAAGTCATTAAATAGGTGAAAAGCCACTCATTATGGAAAAGTTGGTGGTTTTACTTACTATGACAAATAGCCCATTACGTATGCAACTGCACGCATATGAAAGTGTTAAAAGTATTGTTTAATCCTACAACAACATTATAATACAATTCTGTCTGCATTTTAATGTTTGAAGTGATAGCTCCCAGATTTATAAATTAACACATAATGCTACTGTCTGAAAGTCCATAACAACACCAAGTAAAATCCATTTCTTCTAGAAATAAACGTACACTTCTGAGGTAAGATTCCAAGGAACAGACTTCATTAAAATGACATCGCTGAGAATAACTCTATCTTAACAGACATATTTTTATCAACAGTCTACAGTTTTAGTATGCTTGTTTACTGAAAAAGAATATATTTACATTATGGAGATGTAAGAGCTGTGACAGCTATTTTGGGGAAAAAGGAAGCAGAAAGAAATGAGAAGGAGAAAACACAGAAGCAGTAAGGGAAGCAGGTTCTGGGCTTGTAAAGGTGTTCATTAGTCTGCTCTGTAATTATGTATTTAAATCTATACAGGTGCTTTTAACACCCACATCCCTGTGGCTGTTAAGCATTTTCTAGGACTGCCTTAAGTCATATGACTAATACCTGTCATATGCAGATCATGCTCCCATTTTTCCTTCCCAGAGGAAGAATAGCAAGTATAGTGGCTTGTTTCATTAAGGGTTTTTTTTTAAATACTAAAATATCAGGTTCCTAACATGTTCTTGATAGCTTATAAAAGGCATTTTGATTGGTTGTTTAGCTTCAATTCCACCCCTAAAGGGAATTCCTAAAGAAAAACATTCAGAAGTTAAACATAATTTATTCAATATAAAATCTGAATCATTACATTACAGGTTTGGTTGACTTTCTGACAGAAAGTTCGGTTTTATTTAAAGAGAAAAAGTGATTACATCTGGTAGCCATAAGATACGTCTGGTCCACATCTATTATCTCAGCTAGTATTAAGTGTAATTAATTGTATCAGATAGTATATTAAGAATTTCATTACCATTACCTGTTACACCAGTAACAAAGTATTACAAGATCCATAACACAGAACAAAGCATATTCTAGCCTTTACCATGTATCTTTCACTGTGCAGTATCTGAACACCATCAGTATTGGCTGATGCAACACTTACAATCCAAATAAGAAACTGAATTGGGTATTTCAAAGCTACTTATGTTCAACTGGTTTCCCACACTTTTAAAGACCAACTTTTACTAGATAATGCATCATAGGTGTGAGATATGCTTTTTTTCTAAAACATGCATGTATCTCTGTGACTTTCAGATAAGAGTAAGAAACCTAATACTTTCTCTTCAATTTGAAAAAGGCAGTAACTAGAATAACACAGCTTCTATTTATTACATATTCTGATTTTTGAATGCATTAATTCATACACACATTTCAGATGCATTACCTTGATTGACTTATCCATGTCACTGTAACACAGAGAATTGAGAGAGATTTTAAAGGGCCTCCAAACAGGATTCAGGTTGTTTTTAATAACCTGTTAAAAAAAAGTCAGAATAGTATTGTTCACAAGAGTGAAAAGTAGTCACCATAACTGGTCATACCTTCATGCCATGATTTTTGTAAGCAAACACAGTTGACTACTGCTGCTGTCAATCACTTCCTGCAACCCAAATCCTAACATCTAGGATATAAACAGAACTACACATTCTTAGCATGCAATACCATTGTCCAAAAGAGATGGTATCTTTCAACTCCATGTTTTTCTTGACTGCACTGTGATCTGTTACATGATTCAGCTAGTACACTGCAAAAAATTAAATTGATCTTTACATAAACATTGACATTGTGTTTTTTTTTTAATTAACACACACATATACATTAACATATATAAAAGTGCGACTTATCAAAAAAAACATGGAAGATTATACTGGAATTTCTGAATATGTAAGTGCTCTAGAGATTAAAATTCACTCCATCTTATATTTATTCTGAAATTCCACTTATGGAAATATTCTCTCAAGAAATTAATGGTATAGTTAGGCAGAAACAGTGCATGAGAATAAAAGGTGTCTCAAGCTGAATGCTAAATAAGTGAAATTTAAGAATAATACTGAAGTATCTTAAGAACTTGTCAACTGGAAAGTATCTGTCATATACCCAATATATCAAATAATGACCTTAAAAAGCACAAGAAGCAATACTTAATTATTAATAATACCTAATAAAAATAATAATACTCATACTTCCAGCACTGTAGTACAGAGAAAGTTCTCTTTTGAAAATGAAAACAGTAAACAGCAGTTGGTAGCATTAAAGGTTTTTAAAATCTGTAACAAAGAACTAATCCTCCAACCAGTTCCAGGCTGGAACAGCAGATTCTGGATTCATTACTGAAATAGATGATTGAAATCCTCATGGAAATGATAGATTTATAAAAATAGGTTCTCTCATGAGGTTGTTCTCCTGCATAAAATGTGACACAGAAAGGATTTATACTTCTTCAACATCCATGCTTCAAAATTAATAGAGTCATCACTGCAAATGTGCACAGTACCTCAGTTGTGACTAGGGCCTGAGCTTCCACTACAGTGAGACAGTTTGAACCTACTCCTACCCTGTCAGTTGCTGCCACGGGACCTCTGCACCTCCTCCTGGGTGGAAGGCTGCTGCTGCTCAAGCACATTATCCTTGGCTTGCCCTTGCTATGCAAGCATTTGGTATAATTACTGTCATTAGTACAGCTAGATGACATTGACATAAGAACAGCACAGTCACAGGAATGCTTAAATTCTACCCTCAGAGTAGCACCAAGAGTGAGTGTGCAGTACCTTTTCAAAACACTTGTTTTCTTCTAGATCACAGAAGGTTTAAAAAACATTATTTTCCTTTAAAACAGGGTGCATAAATGACAATCTGAGTAAGACAGATTTCCTGTTCTATCAGAAAGTCAGTGGAAGAGCTGAGGTGATTCCCAACTGGTCTGCATGTCAACTACGAAACCGTTCTCTTCTTTTTGTAAGATACTATACCTTTCGTGCTGTGATTCACTGGAAATCGAATAACCTTAATCTCTAGATTGTTGACTGAAAATATCCTACCTCTGTTCTGTGAACCATCACCCAGTTTCCATCTCCAGTCTGCTTGTGGAATTCCAGATAAGGATCTGACTTTCCAAAAAAATCCTGTATTTAAAGAACATGTAATTATTCCAGAACAGCCTGTGGCATGTATGCCATTAAATACTAGTTAAAACACACTTAGATTAACAAAAAGTAAACTAAATATTGAGGGAACAAAAGCTTTAGATGAAGAAATACAAATCTGATCATACTACCACCTGTGAAAGAGAAAGAAAACGGGCCATGTCCATCAAATTAGGATAAAAGTTCTGTAGTATCCATAAATACCTGACAGTTCAAACAAAAGAATACTATATCAATAAGTACTATGATGGATAGTTAGAAAACTGAGGATTTCACCTAGTTTAAAAAACTAGCATTAAAACGACTAGGAAAAATATTAACTTTTTTTTTTAAATTTATTTTGTTTCTAAAAGTCTTTCTACAGTCATTTTAGCAAAACCCAAAATATTTAGCCTAACAGATGTATACACTCTATTAACACTCTTTATCATTTATTTCAGAGAACTAAAAGGTAATCATTTATACGGCTATTCAAAGCAACAGATATACTAAAACTCCCTTATCATTATGAATAAATGTAAAGATTTACATTTAAATGGAAGCATGCTGTTCACAGACTACCCCTGCAATGCACTTGTTTTATTTAGAAATACGTTATAATTCATTTCAAAACAGTCAATGAAGTTACTCTGAAGCAATCTTTCTTCAGTTTCTTTTTCAGAGTAAGAAAAACCTTAATGGATTTAATTACTTCAGAAAAAAAATAAGAATGAATATTTTAATGTTTCCTGTTTTGACAAGATTCTGATTTTACTACTTTATCAAAGAAACAGCAATCACTTAAATACCTTATTGTCCAGTTTCCTTGCTTCTACTTCCAATACAACCACCCTGTTATCCTTCACTTCTTCTGCTGTAATCTAGATATGCAAACAAAATAAAATACTTATTTTGTATTCAGGAACTACATATAGTCTTCTCATATTCACAACACTTCTATGACAGGACCATTAAAACAAATCATGTTTGTGCACAAATGAAGCATTAAAAAAATGGTGTGGGGGGAAAGGAGGAACAATTTGTTTTGACATTGGGATTCACTACATGATGACACTGACAATTAACGATACTGCCCAAATAGTAGCATATCAGATGCCCTAATTATTTTGATGGATGCAGTGAGTCTTATAGATGCAGAAGGTTTGCTGCTGTCGTTTTGGATGACAAATATTAGTGGAGGAAAAGAAAAATGCTTTAAGATACTTTTTACAGCACTGTAAATTAGACACACTATGTTCAAGCCACTAACTAGTAAAACCCCACAAAAACACTTAAGGATAAACACAGAAGAGACTTATTGTCTTAACTGTCTTACCGTAATACTTCCTCTTCCAGCAGGTCTGCCATTTTTAAGTACTAATGGCTTTGTTATAGTCCTGCTAGAAACTATCTGCCAAGACAAAATTTGAGCATCAAGCATTATTAACACAATTTAATAGATTCTCAAAGACAGTGAGGTATTTACATTTTAGGAACTTTTCCCTAATCATGAAGATGACAACATTACATTTGCTTCCCATGATCTCCTAAAAATAAATAGGTAATACTTGATAGACTTCAAAATTTTAAAACACATATGCAGATGAACACACTGAGAGTTTCAGGAACAATATGAAATAAAATGTCTTATGTAATATGATACACATACATGGACAAAGATAATACCTTAAGTTCCAATCTCAAATTGTTTTTAAGGTTTCATACATACGATTCAAACACATGCAAGCCATGTTTCATAAATGGCTTCAGCAAACAGATTTATATACATAATGTTTCTCATGCAAACAAACATCAGTCTCCCCCTGCAGTGTTTCTAGTTGATTTTATTTTATCCTCTTCAGGTAATGCTTTCTCAAAAGTGTGTCTACTCATTCTATAGGCCCTTCTTTAAGAATGAATGATTAATTTCAAATTGTTACTGAGTTTCATTTCACAATGCTTCCGTCTTGATAATGCACGTAAAATACAAATACATTAGACACAAGGGAGGAAAAATCCCAACATGACTTTCCTCAGAAGAAGAGCCTTTGAAGGATCTATTAGAAACAAGTTAAAAAGAAGCTGCATGATAGCACCAATAGCAGAATTTGACATGGAAATGGGAGTGAAACAAACAGTAGGCAGAACCAGAATCACTGTTTGCCTTGAGTGGAAAGCAAATTACAAGGTTAACATGGCCTTTGTGAATACTCATGTCACTATACAAAATTCTCTTTTTATGGAGCATGAAAATAAGAATTTGAATATTAGAGTAAATAAATAGCAATTACTGCTTTGTGCTCACTGACAGTCCACTTTCATACAACAACATACAGACAGTCACCATCCTACAGTACCTTTCAGGGCATCATCTCAAGACCTTTTGCAAATAGAACATATATACACTGAACCGAGGCTTAAAAAAAAACAACAAAGGGAATACTTTTCAACTTAGAGTATCCCAACTACATAAGAACAGTGATAAATTTAAGGTAAAAGTGGTTAATGATTTGGAGTAACTTTTATTTTCTTAATTCTAAGGAAAATCATTTGCATACTCACTTGTCCCAGTGTACATTCAAATTCTCCTAAGAAGTCATCATCACTCAGATCAAAGGTTTTGTTATCGATGTCATATATTCCAAATTTAAGTTTCTGAACAAGCTCAAAATAGTAATCAATTAGGAATTTCTTGGCAAACTTTGGGTTCAAGGAATTCTTAACTCTTTCTGTACGATCAACCTGTAGTTAGAAAGATATCACTTGATCCAGTATTTCACCAACCAAACAAGCACTCAAAACAAAGAGCATATTATTAAAGAATTTTCTTGCTATATAGTATAAAGACATATCTTCCCACAAACCTGTCATTAAATATAAATACAAAACCCACTGCTGTAAGAGATATGTGAGGACCTGTTTCTCTTTGCTCCCTGTAAGAAGTACATATTCCTGCATAAGGAAGATCAACATAAAAATGTTATATTGTCAAATTCAGGATGAGACCCTAGGTTTGGAATACTGGATTTATAAAAGCACATGTAAGCATTTAGAAGGCTACTTCTCCTGGTCCACATATGGCTGGGGGAACAGTGCTAAAAATCAGACAGGTGAGTATTTACTAGAAAACAATTATTAGTGTGCTGCCTGTATAACTATTATAGATATAATCTATAAAAGTGTTCAGAGGTGCTGGTATATTACTAAAATATTTTAATGAAATCATACACTCCACTTTTAAAAGGTCCAACAACTCAGACTGTGTTTTTAGCAGATTCATGAGAAGAATCACACTGTACCTCATACCACTGCTGACCACTCGTGTTCTGGAGAAGCACACACAGTGGGTCTGACTTGGAACCAACATCTTTATCCAAGAGATTGGTGCAGGCAATGGTCAGTTCCACCTTCGTCACACACTGGGCCGCCATTTGTTAAGCTAGAAAGCAGCAACAGAAATCATTATTTTAAAAATGGACTAAAAAATAAAAAATGGGATTATCACAATGCATTAATTCTCTGACTAATCATTAGAACTGTTAGCTTGTCAGGGATAAAATTTGAGGCTCCAAATGCAAATTTTAAGATTTATCATGTACCAACATCACAGTATACTGTCATGCTCTTGGCTTTGTCACATAGGTATAAAACTTCATTTCAAAATCAGCGCATAAGAAACAAGATCGGGTTTCTTAGAATGCTTGAGTAACCAAATCAAAACCAGGACACACCATGAAGAAACCACAGTGGTTTGAACTGCCAACAATAAAACTTGCAAGCTTTAAATTACATCCTGTAAAGCCCACATGAACACCAGTATCTTATAATGTAGATATTAATAATAATTCAATAAGGAAAAAAATTATATGGTATACTCCTCCACCAAACTTTTTTAACAAAATGCTGAAGCCATGAACATGGTAGAATTGGAAAAGGGTGTTTTAAGTAGGTAACAGAAATAGGTGATCTTGCATTAGTACATCTTCAAAAACAACTACAGCTTTTAATAATAGGGATAAGCAACTTTGAAGCCAAGTAACAACACAGAATTAGAAGGAAATATTCTTTCTGAAGGTTTGTTTGAAAAAAAGAACTGAAAACTTTCTGACATTTCCTCTTAAGTATCTCAGTCATTCTGGACTGGAACTGAGAAGACCAGCAGGTATTATAAACCTAAAGAAATCAACTCCATTATCAGTTTTGAATCCCATGCTGGGATAACATGCATTTGCAAGCCTCATTAGGCCTGAGCAGTAGATATTTTCTGTATAAAAAAAAAAAAATCCTTAAAATTATACTCTCCAGGAATACAGCTAATCATTTCCAACACCTCTCTGGGAGGTGAACCTCTACAGTACAACTGACCTTGACTGAGTGACTAAAACTTCCAAATCCACAAGCAGCCTATCTTGGAAGTTCCCAAGCCTCTTTAGCTTCAGCTTCTCCCTCTCTATAATAAGTCCACAGTCTAGACACAGTATCCCTCTAAGTTAACTTGTCTTGAAAGTGCATGGCACACTAAACAGAACAATAAGGAAGGAAAGGCATCTTGCTTCTATCTAGCCTCCTCACTTGCATCATACATATATAGAGTATTTGAACATCAAACTATACTCATCTCATCTCTCTTCCTTTCACTGCATTCATATGACTTTTGGTGAAAAGGAACTTTTTTTTTAGAGGCAAAAAGGGAAAGAAACATGAGAAAGAGGAACGATGAACTGAACACAGGAGAAAGAAAACACTGCGGTCTGAGGGAATTTTCCAGAGGCTTCTTGTATTCCACTAGGGCACACTTCATGCATTGCCTCAACATCTCTGTTTTGGTATCTTAGAGATGGACCTTTTAGAGAATGAAGTAAACATAAATGATCTGTAAAGGAACCACTCCAACATCCATACACTATCTTTAAGAAGCATGTCAGATTCATGGAAATTCTCCTGTACCTACCAAACACCTAAACATAATTCCATCTTTGAGTATCATTTGCTCTCATGACTTTACCAAGTTTCAGTCATTCTTAAGGGGAAAAAAAAGTGAAGCTCTAAGTTAAGTATTTAAATTGTTTTTAAACCAATGCTTTTTAGGCTTAGAAAGCATACCTCTAAAAAGCAGTCTGCCCCTTTTTTTCCTGGTTCTTTTTTTATAATGGTATTTTCCATTCCCTATTGCTTTCCTGGCTGCCAGACAGAGCTCATTAACAGTCAGTGGTTTTGCCCATAGAAGCCAGTGCAGACCAGTGCATGCCTCCTTAATGGCTGTTTCCAGAAAAACAACTTTCTGCTGACAAAATGATGCTGTAATACCCACTGATGCTGCAACAGCAAGTAGAAAGGGTTTTCATGAAATTCAACAGAAATCAAACTTTAATTGAGATGTATTTCTCAAAACAGTCAAAATTTTCATGCTCTAACGTCTCTGAAATTCTGTATTATTATGAGTCCCCAAAAGGACCTGTAGCCACATTCCTTTACATTTCCAAAATCACTGTTAAACAGATAGCATCCAGTCAACCTAAAAACCTGGTCAGCTTTTTCTACTTAGCCTGTGTGTACACATCCCACTTCTCTTACATCTGAAGTACTTTCACACATTAATACGTCAATTCTGTTACTTCCTCTCCTCCTCCACATGTCCCTGAATCTTCCACTATGCATCTAACATGGGAAAAGAGAAGATTTAGCAAAAGAGGTGCTGTGCAAAAAGCAACCTTTAACACACAGAGAAAAGAAGAATAAAAAAGCTGCTACCCTTCACTGAAATGCAAATATTCTTGTTTGAGACCTAATAATTGTGTCCACATTAGATAAAAAACAACTTATAACAAGAACATACATTATTCCAAGTGGAGGATATTCAACCTGAACCCCAGATACAAAAGCAAAACTTCCCAAATCCTGAGATAGTCCTTTAATCTCTTCCATTTCCAGTTTTGCAAAATCCAAGATGAAAATATAATGCAAGGCATTTTCCTCAGAGGTTTTGAGAATATCAGGAATCATTATTTGTAAAATAGGTTGAAGAGGTCTGTAATACATCTAATGCATTTCAATAAATAATTTTGGTATTTTATTTGAAAAACAGTTAACATGATTATCCATAATACTGTGAGGCTGATACATTACAATAAATACAACCTGATTTTCAATAGCATAAACATAAAAACTTGGTAAAATAGTTACTAGTAAGAAAAAGTCCTTTCACATTAACCCAAAACAGTATTTATGGTAGTGAAACTCAGTACATAAACAACAGATACTTCTCTTACAACACTGTAGACATTACAGAATTTGCAAAGGGCACACAGATGCTTTGCATGTGTGCACTCAGAAGTCCTTTTGGAGCTCCACATATCCTGCCCGAGTCCCTGTAATCCCATCCTACTTAAAAGGAAGAATTACTCCATCTCCACCCAATTCTCCTCACTTCTGAAAGCCTGTGTTAGCTGAAAACTTTCAAAAAAGGTTTGGGAGGTGGGTGGCAAGATTCCTAAAGATAATAAACATCCTGAAGGATCAGAGTCACTGTCACATAAGTGAGCATGCTCTTTTTGAAGACTTGATGGAATAAAGAGTCTGGAAAATTGCAGTCTCTTCAGGATGGTGGGAATAAGAAATCTCAGCTGCACTAGTGCATTACTGTTGGAGAACGGCTTGCAGAGAGCAAGGCCATAGCTCCCTGCAGAAGTCAGTCACAGCCACCTGAGATAAACAGAGGAAAAAACCCAGGGTACAGTTATACTAATAAGGAAGGAGATTCAAGCCTCAGTGATGCTAACAGGGACTGCTGTGAGAACAAAGAGATAAATTGGGGCGTGTTATGACCTTGGGGGTGAGCATAAAAACAGCCCTGGCAGGGAAACAGGTTCAAAGCAAGAAAGATGTTTATGCATACCAGAAATGCCACAAGGGGCTGGGATATTATAATGTGACCTTTTAGATGTACCCAAGGGCTGACATACTATAATGTAGTTTCTTAAATGTATCCAATAGAGTTACAAGTAGTGTATTGTAGAGTGCTTATATAAGGTGCGATTTCTTTCAATAAAGTTGAAGCTTGTTCTATCATTCACATTGAATCGGCTGCTTGCTTCCTCCTCCCGCCACACATTACCTCTTGAAATACCGTACTACAAAACACTATCAAATCTAGTAGGCGAATCAGATGCAAAATATTCTAGATACGTGGCTGGATTACTTGCACATTTGGGATACTGGAGTAACATTACATGGCCAGATGACATGGTTTGGGATCTAGTAGGATAAACCCTGACTGTCAGTAAGTTACGTCACACAACAAGAGACTTACTTATTCAATTAGTTATTCTTATGAAAATAACTCTGCTCCCCACTGGAGAAATTTAATTAAACCCTTTGTTTTTCTAAAGCTATCAACCATTTGTTCTCCATGCAGGGTACACCATAAAGTGAAGTAAAGCACACCAGAAAGGGGACAGATGACAGCTCAATAGTCCTTTTTATTGGAATAGCTTTTATGACCACAGGAATGTATCAGGCTTTTTAAAAAAAACACCAATAATTCTGGACAGGAAAACACTGAAAATAACTACATAAACTGTATGGGAGATACTTGTTCCTTATCCCATTTCATATCTAGGCCGCTCAAGAGCATGACTAGGTCAACTAAGTATATTACAAGTCCTTCTGCTTGAGTTGTCATTATCAAAACAAAACTCTAGGTCTAGTCATGTCTTGCAGTTCCACCAATCATAACATTCTTTGAATTTCACTGATGATTCCATTGAAGACAAGTGACATCCACCAAATAACCCAGCCAAGTTCTGCTTTTCAACAGAAACTGTAAACTCGGTGTCACAGTTTAAACCCAGCCATCAGTCAAACACCACACAGTCTCTCACTCACCCTCCCCTACCCCAGGGGACCAGGGAGACAACTGGAGTGGTAAAAGGAGACTTCTAGGTTGAGATAAAAACAATTTAATAATTAAAAATAAATAGAATTTGAAAATATTAATAATAACAATAAAATATACAAACACAATACAATATACAAACATAATACAATTGCTCACCACTCACCAACCAGTGCCCAGCCCCTTCCCAGCTAGTGATCCCAGAGGAGGGGAAATCCCAAAACCACAACCCCAGAAGAGCCACAACTTCCCAACTAACCCTCATCTATATACTGAGCATGATGTATATGGTATGTAATCATTCACTGGCCAGTTTGGGTCCATTGCTCTGGCTGTGCTCCCTCCCAGCTTCGTATGCACCTGCATACTGGTAGGACACTGGAAGTGGAAAAGTCCTTGATTTCTTAGCAACAACTAAAAACCTCAGTGTATTATCAACACTGTTCTCATACCAAATCCCACACTGAATCCAAAACACAGAACTATTCTAGCTACTATGAAGGAAAATTAGCTCTATCCCAGCCAAAACCAGGACACATGGCATTCTATATGGAAAGGAACAGACCTGCTATCAGAATAATCTTCTAACAGAGTACTTGGGAACTGTCAGACTGCAGCAATCCTATCAGTGCTGCAGTACCAGAGGAGTCTATAGGCTTGCCCAGATAACCTTCAAGAGTAGTGCAATGGTACATTCAGAAATACAGGCATTTCCCAATCTGACAAGCAGAAATACTTAACTAGAAGACAAAAAGACTAATGAAGCAAGGACTGCTCTAGCTGGGTTGAGCGTCACTGCCTTTAGTCACAAGTCTCAAATCTGTTTTGATGTCAGCTATTGTTGTCAGAACATTTTCTAGTTCCTGTGACTGCTCATGACAACAGTCCAAAAAAATCCATATTTTATAGTTACCTCAGGGCCCAGATGGACACAGAAAAAGCAGGGGAAACATTTCAGAACTTGCTAATAATAAAGTCTATTCCTGATCATCTTACCTTTTAGCTATAATGCTACACTTAAGCGTTTATGTAAGCTGTGTGCCAGACTAAAAAAGGCAGTACCATATACAAGCAGTGCTCTGATCCTTCTTGGATTATTAAGTATTTCCAACAAACCTAGGCAGATGACAACACAGAAATAAATTAGTTATTCAGACAGATTATAAAAAAGGAAAATCTTGAACAGAGCCTAAACCTGAAATAATACATACGACCCTTTGCTTTCCTGAACGTTCCGTGTATGCAATTGTTCAGTCTCTGCTCTTTCAGACAGACCTAAGACACCATTTCTTGCAAAAAGAAATTTCTGTGATAAAGATCCCTAGATCTGTACTCCTTAGAACCTTTTCTACTGCATCTCAGACCAAGCAGTAACAGCACTTCTCACAACAGCCTTTCACAAGGAGGGTTCTGGTAAAGAGCTGGCACAAAGATGAACAAAAGACTTAAATGAAACTTGGGAGACAACATCCATCTGACAACAGAATCTGCTCAGTCCATACTCTCAACATAGTCCTCTAGCATCTCTTTATAATAGCTGCACATGCGAAGAGTAGGTAATTACGACATAGTCCCAGAACATATCACGACTGCTGCAAGAAGCTGACAAAGAGATGCTTTTTTCCACTGACGGGCGCAGTAGCAACACAATTTCTAGTGATCTTGGATTACATGTATATAAATGTATAGTTTTAAAAATTTCAAGGTAACCCTTCAAGGAAACTGATCACCTCACAGGAGCTGACATTTCATAGAAAATTACAAAGGCTAAAACTGTTCCATAACCTAATTTTATCATCGCATTTGAAAATTAGAGGCTTCTCTAAAAATCATACCTCTAGATGTGAATTCAGGTTCCAATTTTTTTCTCTCTTTACAGGCCACAGAGATGATAAAATTGTCCTGTGGCACTAACCGATGTGCTGACAAGTTGAATTAACAGAAGCAGCTCAAAGTAATACAACTCAATTTGAATCATTCTGTATTTCAAGATTCACATAAAACCCTGAGTGTAAGCTATCTTCTCACATTCACTATTTAACATGCATGAAGGAATTATATCATTCTTAATTGAACAAGTGATTACACTGATAAAACCCTAATGACCACAGAACTCATTTTACTGCAGATTATGGCATGCAAAAATAAAAGCTAGTATTTAAGAAATCTGAGGCATATGAGTGTGTGAGAAGGGAGACATTTATTTTCTTATGGAAAATGAATGATCTATTTACAAAAGATTCACATACTCAGGCAGTTCAAATATTTATCTACTGAACTGGTATCAAACTGTGTAACAAGTCAGGCAAATATTCGCAGATAGTTCCTATATATAAAAATCTATCATTAAGTTACATTGCCAAAGAACATATTTAGAATGCTGTTTTAAATTCTGCATAGACACTTCACAGACCAGAAACTATTAATTTGATTTCTAGGATACCTGTTCACAAGATGACATAAAAAAAAAAATAATTTCTAAATATCCTTCCGTTGAGTTTTTTATTTCTGAAAATGTATGTTCACCCTTTAGGCACATCTTTAATGCTAAGTGTTCTTTCCAGCATCCTCACAGAATCATCTAGGTTGGAAAAGACCTTGAAGATCATCCAGTCCAACCATTAACCTAACACTGACAGTTTCCAACTATACCAGATCCCTCAGCGCTATGTCGACCCGACTCTTAAACACCTCCAGGGATGGAGACTCCACCACCTCCCTGGGCAGCCCATTCCAACGTCTAACAACCCCTTCTGTAAAGAAATGCTTCCCAACATCTAGTCTAAACTTTCCCTGGCGCAACTTAAGGCCATTACCTCTTGTCCTATTACTTATGACTTGGTAAAGAGATTCATCCCCAGCTCTCTGAAACCTCCTTTCAGGGAGCTGTAGAGGGCGATGAGGTCTCCCCTCAGCCTCCTCTTCTCCAGACTAAACACCCCCAGTTCCCTCAGCCGCTCCCCGTACGACCTGTGCTCCAGACCCTGCACCAGCTTCGTTGCCCTTCTCTGGACACGCTCGAGTCATTCAATGTCCTTTGTGTAGTGAGGGGCCCAAAACTGAACACAGGAATCGAGGGGCAGCCTCACCAGTGCCGAGTACAGGGGTCAGATCCCTTCCCTGTCCCTCCTGGCCACGCTATTGCTGACACAAGCCAGGATGCCATTGGCCTTCTTGGCCCCCTGGGCACACTGCTGGCTCCTGTTCAGCCGGCTGTCAATCAACACCCCCAGGTCTCTCTCTGACTGGCAGCTCTCCAGCCACTCCTCCCCAAGCCTGTAGCGCTGCTGGGGGTTGTTGTGGCCCAAGTGCAGCCCCCGGCATTTGGCCTTATTGAAACTCATACAGTTGGCCTCAGCCCAGAGATCCAGCTTGTCCAGATCCTCACACAAAAATTATTTTAAGAATTTTTGATGATGCTTTGATCCACGTGAACTAAAGTATAAAAGGTAATATTGTGGCCTGAACAAGAAAATTAAGAAATATAGATCTTCTGCCTTCAAAATGTAGTTGCTTTATGCAGACAGCATTCAACCAGGGGAAAGAATGTTTCTGCATATATGTTTTATCATAATATTTTTATATCAATTACTTCATGGAAAACAATCTATCAACTATGCAATTTGAATAGTATCCTAAATCATGTATTCTTCATAGCAATTTCTCTGTGTAGAACCACTGTCTGACTTTACATAACTAACATTATCCAGAAGAAAGAAAAATTTGTACCACTAAAAATTGCACCATTTTATTGTAAAAACAAGGTGCAAGTGACCACATGTTTCAGACTAATTCTTCATACAGTCCATTTCAAGTCTGGCATGTTGTGACCACTGTTAAAAATACCAGTTCTTAAAAATGAGATTATGGTAACTTACCTCAGAGGTCTGCCTCTGAGCTTCTCAGTAGAAGGCTAAAGCTTCAGTAGCAGCATTGAAATGAAATGAAATGAAATGAAATGAAATGAAATGAAATGAAATGAAATGAAATGAAATGAAAACCAAGAACTGTTATTCCCATGTATCAAAGTAACAAGTTCAAATGCATATACTTGAGGAACTACAGCTCTTCTTAAAATAAATAGCCTGTCCAACAGTTTTATGTGTCCATGACAGCAGCACTGTAAAGATTATTTATGGGAAACTCAGAGCCTTTGTTAGTGAACAAAGTACAAAATACATTACATATTTTAAAAGTCCAGCAAAAAAAAGCCCTTTAAGATTTTAAGAACAAAGACTAGACTACCTGTTTGTCCTGTTCACTTTTTTTTTTTTCTTTTCCAGTAAGATGACAGTGTTTTACAGTAAGTAGACCAAAATCAGCAGCTTGTAAGCTCCCAGTGTGGCTTATGCTCTAATAAACCTGTGTTTTCCTACACTGCTAATAGCTGCCCAAGAAAAATCAAAAAAACCACTATCCCAAAATGGTCCATCATAGCATTTTGTATCTCAGTATAAATAATAACTTCAAACTGACAATCACAAAATTACACTTTACTATAGCCCAGATGTATTTCAAACCTTCCTATAGGCAGACTAAGAGCTCTTCAGTCAGCTGTCCTTCAATTCTCTATCACAGCAGCTTACTTGGACTCTGCATTCACCACCTTTGGGCAGCATCATACATGCTGTGCATATACACAGGCAGTGGCTCTGAACAGAGGCACGCAGCGATCATGCTACATCCTAGAACCATCAGATTACTGAACATGTACTAATCACCCACCATGAGGGCTTTGTAATAACCTTCCTGGATGTGAGAAGCCCCAGAAGCATATTTCCACCACTAGAACTAATTCAGCTGGCTCCTAATTGTACGTTGGATAAAACACTGAGTGAACACATGCACTTGATCCAGCTACAGGTAGGAAGGACCTACCTACATGATACAGTCTTCTTTCGACCACAGAAGAAAGTATGAAGCAAGTGATGCAAATCATTAAGACTATTTCTTAAATGGAAGCTCAGACCCAGCAGTCCAGCCCCACAACTCCTACATCAGAAACCCTTCAAATGCTTAATAATGCCATTTTTAAATGCCTGAGCAACAGCACCTCATCTAAAGCAATATTAAAGACAAACTGAAGAAATTAAATATAAAGCAGTAAAGAGCACCATAATTCTCCTTCCTGTCTACTTGTTTCCACCAGCCACACCACTGTTTCAAATGTGATGCTAGAAGGGCCATTACTAATCTTAGCCTAATTGATCCAAAAATAGAAGTAACTTTGTTGGCTTAACAGGAACTAACACCTACAAATACTAACTCAATCGTGTATTATTTATGTTGGAAGAGCACCCCCACTTTCACTGAAAAATAAACAGAATTAGTAAGAAAGAAAAAAACATATCTTACAACTTAACTTTGTCCCTAAAGGTATTTCCTAAAGGAAACCATAGTAATGACAGCATCTGATTCTAAATCAGAATGCAGGAGGAAAAAAAATTAGACTCCACCCCAGGTAATAACATTAACATATCTGTGGAGTTGAGGTTTTAGTTTCATTACCCCTAAAAGAAGGATCTTTGGTACTGTTTGTAAAAAGCAGCTACTATGACTTCCCTCTAGCCTTAAATTATGGAGAAATGTTAATGCCTTGGGCATAACACAAGGCTGTAAAACACTGTGCTAAAGCACTGCTACCCTGGAATTCTGGCAGATGACCTTTAATAATGGCTTAGTTATTCAACTTACCAGAAATGGACTGCTTGTTTCAACAGCTGAACTAAAATTAAGTCACATATAAAGGATTTGTATAGATTAATTTTGAGATATTTAACACAAACATATTTGTTGGAAAAAACACTGCATCCTCCTTAACAACATAACAGAAAACCCAAAAGACCTCTGTCTGGTTCTCCTTGCTCCTCTACACATCTTTCTTACTTTTCTTCTAATGCCTGTTGGTGTTCTGCATGTCCTGTGAAACATCTTACGTCTGTGATTAAACATTTATAAAATTAAAATTTAAAACTTCATATAAAAAAAAAAATCTGCGGTGAAGTTTGAGTCTAACTATTTTTACTAAATAAACTGTTTGTAGCACCACAGAAATACCTTTAACATTCAGGGACAAAAAACAAATGTAAGTTTTGGAGGTAGGGTGATGCATACTACCTTGAGGATACTTAACGCACTTGAAGATACGAGTATGAAAGCAAACATAAAGGGCTTTCATATTTTAACTTTTCCCTAGCAAAAGAGTAAATTATGACAACATGCATGTCACCCAAGGTTTGTCTTACACATATCATGCAACTGCAATGAAGAAAGAAAAATCAACAACCCACTCGAACTGCAGCAGTTCAGGAAGAAGAACATGTATTTTTTAGGAACGATAATGACTTCTGACAGTCTCCTTTCTGAACCGTGAGGGCGTTTTCCGTAGTAGTGTTACATCAGGACAGAGATCGGCACCCGGGACTTCAAAGTCCTGGCGTGCAGCTTTAACTTCACGGAGTTTCGCTACCTGAAGGACGGCGAACCAGACGGCCGATTCCTCGAGCTCCGCAGACGTTTGTGTCCGGTGCCCCGCAAAGAGCTGCCTGTGCCCCGGCGCAGGAAGCGGGCAGCCACCTGAGGGGATGTTTCGCAAGAGGCTGTTGGGACAGCTGCCACCCGCGGCGCCAACCACCGCCGGCAGCTGCAGCCCCAGCCCAGGCCCTGCCCTGCCGTGCCCTGCCCGCCAGCCCTGCCCGCCTGCCCCAGCCCCACGCGCCTCTCGGCGGTACGAGGCGGCAGCCCTCAGCCGCCGGAGGGGGAAGCGGCCGAGGGGCGACGCGCGGAAAGCATCAACTCCCTC